TAAATAGAGAGTATTCCTAATCTGGTGTTTCGGAAGAATATTATGACTCTTTTATCTCACCCATTCAAGAAACCTTACCAACTTAAAGTAAAGGAGTTTTGTAGTTGTTATCACATAGTTATTCCAGAAAGCTGACTGATTTGTACTCTAAGGCAACAGAAACTTCAACTTTATATGCTTGCAAAACATGACTTGCATAATCAAACGATAATTTTTAAAAGCTGCAAGGTTTGCACAGATAACAAGCTAGTTTGCTTAGCTGCATGACAGAAGAACACAAGAATTCAAGAAGAGCATGACACTTACAGAAGCAAGTGGACAGTTTTGGTGGTTTTTGACCATGGCCTTCCTTAATAATTTGCTTTTTGACTTTCTCATGAAGAACCTCCATCTCTGACTCAACTTTTGGTAAATCTTTATCATCTTGGGCAGGCTCATTGTGAACAAATGCAGAACCCTCAGTGACGATATCATTATCATCATCAGAGCCTATCAAATTCATAAAAGGTGACATTTAAAAATTAAGACATAAAATAAGAAAAAGGAACAACTTGAAAAGAATTTGCTCTAATTGTTCATGTCAACCGATGTATCCATGGTAGCAGTCAAGTAATTTTGCTGCACATCAAGTGATGAAAGCATAAGAACATAGGCATTTTCATACAGCCAGTTAGTGACAAACGTCTGTTCCGAGAACAACGAGATATATAATAGTGGGTTCCATGTGATTATTACATATCATCCCCAAGTGGACTCAGGAGTGAACGCAAACGCACAAGGTAAACCGTAAGATGTAGGAAGCGTGCGGCTACTGCATTAAGACAAGGTTGAATCAAAATCCCAACTTAAGTGAATCAGCAGCTCGATCATATGTAAATTATCAGTAACCCTTTTATGGCAGGAAGGACACCGAAGAAAACTACATAGAAATAACAGAACGTAAATAACTATAGTTGACACGCACATGAAGCATCTGAATCACAAATCTGAATACGTAAACGACAGAAATGCGATCTCAGCACGCAAGTAATGAGAAATTAGAAGCAAAAACGTGGCTAAAGACCATCTATTGCGAGAAAAATAATGGATTTTGCGAGTGCCAAACTAAAGATAGCATCGGCTGTTGGTTAACACTTCTCGATGCGTTCATGCGGGGTACGAAATTCCTCTCTTTGCACCAAGTCGCTATCTTGGACACTACTTCCACCACCCATAAGAGCATATCCGGCTCCCGATTCCCCCAGCGGCACAAGAGAGATCGAGGTCAAATTCGAATCAGCACAGAGAGAAGGGGAGGGAAAGGGAGTTACCCGAAGCAGAAGAAAGTACGTCCGGATCGGCCATGGAGGGCGACTCAGGCGGAGGAGAAGCCATTAGCTGGCGGAGGCCGGGGATCGAGGGGAGCGCAAGGGCGGCGAAGGAGAGGACTTTTCATTAGGACGGAGATCGCGAGAAGAGGCGATTAAAGATAGTGGACGAAAATACTTCCAGAAGGTTCGGCTCGGTTCGGTTCGGGTTAGATTTTGCATCGTTTGATTCGATCGTTGGGTGGGTTTGTCTGCCATTCCGGTCGACGTTCCCTTTTCCTTACAAAACGTGGTTTTCGCAATTAAAATGATAAAACATCAACAATTAAAATCAGTTTTTTTTATGTTTGTGTTCAATTTTTTTTCATTTTCAATTATCTTTCAAATATTTGTTAGATTCTTTAAATTTTATATTTGAGATGTCGAGATTTATTTTTAAGTATTAGTCTAATAATAATGTTATATCATATCATCAAAAGATTTGAAATCTTATCTGACATATTTTTATATCTTAAACATCGATATTTTTTTAAAATTATTAATTAATTTAATTGATAAAAAAATATTATCAAGATGGATCAGACTTGAATTCTATATTCGTTATTTATCTTTATAAAATAAAAGATAATATTGAGAATTATTCTTTTCAAAACTTCGTCCATTTTAAATATTCAAAATGTCATGATATCAGAAAAATAAATAAATTTTTTTTCTTACTGAGATACATTCAGTCAAATCTGTCCATTGTTGGATTGGGTCAGCTAGATCAAAATTTATATTATATTTAAGAAAGATTTATAAGTCTATTATGAAATATACTAAAAAAATCCTAATTTTGATCTAAAAACATCCAAAAATACTAAAATAAGTAGTTTCATAAAATCTAAAGATATAAATAAAATCAATAGTAAAGATCAATGAGAATTTAAAATAATTGGACTATGATTACGATATTTTCAATAATAATAATAATAATAATAATAATAATAATAATAATAATAATAATAACCTTTAAGTTCTGAGGGATATATATATGCAATTGCGTGTTCTCATTTTTATTACAAGCGGCCGAGCAATTGGCAGGGGGTGGGCCGGAGAGATGGACGGGGACGGAAGCGGGAGACCGACGCGACGGCTCCTCCTCCTCATTCTCTCGATCTCTCTGCAACTAATCCCGGGTTTGATCCTTCCCGATTCCCGGAAATCTTTCAATTGTTCCCGTCGGAGAGTGATTTAAACGGGGAAAAGTATTTTTTTGTTGTTGTTTTGATTTATCCATTTCTTGATTGTTCAGTCGGTGCCTCTCGGTTTAACCTAGATCTTATCGGGATTCGAACTACTATGTAGCCTACGATGAGGTTTCCTGTGGATCTTGGTTGATTCTTGATCGCCCCCGAATGTTCTCTTCGGTGTACTGGGGAACAAATTTTGATGTTTTCGATATGTTGTGGTCATTCTTTATTCATTTTTCCTTTTTTTCGATATGTTGTGGTTTTACTGGTAGGTTTTTGTGTCTGGATTTCTTGAGGGTTCGAGCATTAGTCATTGATAGGTGGTGTTCTTGATTAGGCAAGTCCGCGGCAATGTTCGGCAAATCTAAATGAAATGGATTTCTTGAGGGTTCGGGTAGAGGAGGTGCACGACTCTTTGGTCTGTTAAGATCATATATGGCCCGGTTTGGACCTTGTTGCTTTTTGTGTCGTTTCATGCAATATTACTTTAAAGATCTGACTCATGGATGTCGAGAATTTCTATTCTTTATTTTGGCATTCACTTAAAGTACTCCGTGTACATGTTGATATGGAAAGTTTTATCTTTGCAATAATTCTCGAGCACATTTCCTTTGTTGGTCACCAAGATGTTTATGGCCTTTACGTGGTGAAGAGATTTTACCCTTGTCGTCATCAGTCTTCGGTGTGCAAAGATCAAGAACTTTTTACTTGGCGGACATAGAAAGAATCTCTAAGTTTGCTCGACTTCACATTAATTTACTGTATGCGATTTCACTTCCTTTTGTGTTTGATTAGTGCCTCTAGTTTATCTGAGATACTTTCGGACTATTTAAAATTGTTGCTACTTCTCAATTTTAATGTTTTTCAGCCTGAGGAACACTTTTCTTCTTCTTAGGTTTGTCTGAAAACCCATCACCTTCCAAAGATTCAACAAAAGCTGATAGTCATTATAATTTCATTAGCAACACGGGGCTTAAGGTGCTCGTCGTATGCCTTGGAGTGGCCACTCTTGTTCTATTGTCCTTATTTCTATTCAAGATGTGGCAGAAGAAAAAGAGAGAAGAGCAACATGCCCGTCTGCTGAAGCTGTTTGAAGAGGATGATGAGCTTGAAGTCGAGCTTGGACTTCGGGATCGAGAAATTTTCCTTGAGCAATAGAGTGTAACTCTGTCTGAGGTAATACTGAATATTCAATGAATTTGTTACGAATACTGCCGTTGTCATGCATGATGAGTTTATATATATATACACACACACATATATATTCCTGCCATACTAGCTGGTTTATTGTCAACTGCAATGGTTAATCACTATATATATTTTATTGTTTTGGCAATTAAGTTTGTTGCTTTTTGATTAATATTAAATTTATAGGAGAATTATGTTTTAAACAAAGCAACCACTTTGAAATAGTATATGTGGTTACAGCTTAGAAAGCATGATATTTTCAGAATCACACTGGTAATAGTCTGAGATACCTCAGTTGTGTCGGTAAAATTATTAGTTTTGAAGAGCAGATTGTCAAGCTGACTATCAAGTACCAATCTATATTCCATAATTATTACTGAATGTATTTTTTGGAATGAACTGTAAATTAAAACTGCAAATGGCAGAAGTTGGTAGATGCTGATGAATTGGGTGTTACAAATTACTCTGCTCTGAATCATGCAATATAAGAGATGTATTGGTACCTGTTGTTGGCTGTCTTTCAGTCTGCTTGTCAATTTATTATTAGATCCATAGCCATGTCATGAAATGCAAAAAATTTAGAGATTGCTAAACTTTGAGTTGCTTTCTTCCAGAGTGAAAACAGAAATGCTCTCTTCATTTACTTAATAAATCTTGATTGTGGAACCCTTCATCGTACATAAAAGTTTCGTAATGTGATTATCTGCATGGGAATTCATCAATTGTGTGCTCATCCTTGATTGTTGCTTTACCTCAATCGTCATCTAGTGATTCTCTCATGATCTATTTTACAGTCTAAGACCGAGAATTTGAAGGCTGTGCAAGGTCCTGATAATAGATGGATTAGTCCATTCTGAAGGTGGAAGGTTCTCGTGATCGAGGTCTGATGTACCTGGATTGAAGACTGTGGTTACTGTGTTCTGTCAAAAAGAAGACTGTAGTTCTAGTGCATTAAAACCATGTCTTTTTTGTTTGTCATCTGAAAGCTAGAACCTGATGCTGTACAAATTATTATTCCACTTTGTCCCTCACACAGTTTTGCAAGGTCTTGCCATTTTTTGATTATATAACTCCGAAACAATGTGCAGCTCCATCTGTTGGCATTCACAAAATAGCAGCAGGGAATAGAGAGTTCCTTCTGTTTCTCAACATTTTGATTTTTTTTCAGACAATGGCAGCATTCAAGTTGAACTTCCAATTTCAAGAAACAGTGACTCACACTCCTGTGGACCGACCAAACTAGCAGGCAGCAGGTCTAACTCCTGGCGCAAGATTTCAGTGGAGTTACAGCACTTGGTACCCTCCATTAAACGAACAAGAGGTACAATAGGCATGAAAGTTTTCATATAGAAAGGAGTAACTTAGAGTCTCAAATGCATTTTACAGTGCCCTGATTGATCTCATTGGTCTACATGGCATGGAAATCATTGCAGGAAAGCATTCGGCAAATCACAGGGTTGGAGCTCTTTCGGCAGCCCCGGAGATGACAGTGAGCAAGTTGTTCCCAAATGGGTCACTCAGATGCTTTGCGAGGTTCTCCACCGGTCCTTCTCCGGTGACGTAGGCTTGCAGGAAGAAGCCGAGCATGGCGAACATGGCGAGCCGTCCGTTCTTGATCTCCTTCACCTTGAGCAACGCGGCCTGGTCTGGGTCGTTCGCGAGCCCCAGTGGATCAAATGGACCTCCGGGGTGGAGCTTGTCCTCCAAATCCTACAAGAGAGCGACAGAGTTGGTGTTGATGTTTGCAGCAAGTAGCAGATAACACCGGAAAGTGGATGGTGAACTTAATTTTGAGATACCAGTCCATTGATGATTCTGTAGTACTCTGCTCCTCCAACGAGCACGATCTCAGCGACGACGGCAACAACAAGATTGATGGGAATGTTCTTGCCGAAGTAATTCAATGTGTTTCCATCAAGGAGAAGTGCCCCAGTCTGCAAACAAGCATGGATCTTTGTTATGCTTAGGATCAACAGACACACACACACACACACACGGGTGGAGAACAAGCATGGCTGAAGTACCTTGAACCAGACCGCCTCGGGGCCGCAGTTTGCACCGAACTTGTTGAAGGCCTCCGGGATGATGAAGCCAGCGGCGCCGAGCATCGCCCACCTCGCATGGATGAGCTCGTAAGCTTGGTATCTGCACATCGTTTGATACTGTAAACATTTGATGGCTTCATTTACAGACATGCAAGAAGAATGACACGGTGCACACACTTGGCGAAGTTTTCTGGCTTCTTGCTCAGCCCAAAAGGATCGTAGCCATAACTGCAAGGAAGTCAGAGCATAAATCACTCAATCTTAGATGGCCCTCGTGCACGTGAAGCGCTAAACAAGGGAGGCAAACTTCTTCATCTGACTTCAACTTACTCTCCAGGGACGTCTCCGGTGAGGTACTCTGGGATCTCCGACCGGTCCAACAGACCTTCCGGCAGGAAAATCCTTCTCTCAGGACCTGATATCGATCATCGTGCATTGTATCAGTCAGACATTCTTCTTTGAAGAGAAGCATCCAAGAGTCGGTAGATTGACTCACCATACCACTTGGCGAGCTCGTCGTTGACCGGAGAAACGGCGGCTGGCTTCGACTTGGGTGAAGACTTCTTGGAGAAAAGCGCAACGATCCTTGGAGAGCCGGAGGGAGGTGGCGCAGGGGGGGAGCGAGGTGGGGCGGCGGTGCTGAGGCGTGTGCCGAGGATCTCGGAGACGCCGAGGGAGGCCATGGTGTCTCAGCCTTGGCCCGAGAAGAACAGCAGCAGGAATGGGGGTTGTGCAGTTGCTGTGGGGGAAAGCAGAGAGGGACTAAATGGTTGGGCTGGTGGATGTGGTGGGGCCATGTAGGATGTGCATTTCAGGGCTATGATTGGCTGCCACTTCCCATTCCAATCTAGTGCCGAGTTGTGGTTGGTCAAGTTGTGGTGACATGGCAGATGATGTTCTCAATCCTGGCCTCTAATCCTTGTGGTGGAAAGAGGGACAATTGTAGATCAAGCAGAGCTCTCATGGAGTCCAACCACTGCCATGAGCCAATGGATTCCACACATGCCATGGCAAAATGTGACGAGCCTTTTTTTTGTCTGTGCCTAAGGCAATAAAGGTTATGTTGATGCCTCCTCTACTTGCAATCTATTATTAAGCTTTCCTGTGTCTAATTCTATCTATACCTGCAATTTGCAGATCCTTTTGGCAACTAACCCATGTTTTCTTTAACTTTATCCAAAGTTTTCATAACTCAATTTGCAATTAACATGCGACAATTCACATATGATAATTCACCTCATAATGGAGGATCAAAATTCTTTTGTAATAATTCATGACTCTAATGATATTTGTTTATTAGTTGAATTCAAGTACATACATACATTATACACATAATTAAAGATTATATCAAACATACATAATTATTATACATAGTTTTTTGAAATTTTTTATGGAGTATAAATATGACATATGTGCAGAGAAGAAAAATAGAGCAACAAATTATTTGGTTAAATTTACTAGAGTTAATAGGGTTGGCTTCTAACCCAAAAAAAAGAAAAACAAATTGTACTTATTTTCTTGAACTTATTATATATATACATGTATCATTTTTTTAATATTTTAAAAAGCATGATAAAAGAATATTTGACACCATCAATTTATCATAAACAAAGGGGCAAACTTTTGGGGGTTTTTTATATTTCTTTTTGTGGGTCCAAAATGTTACTGTTCTTATTTATTGGGAGTTCCCAAGTTATATTGTAAAGAGGAATCACGTGAGACTCCCGTGGGTGACAATCTGCCCTCCGGCCCTCTTGTTGCAAAACCCCTGGAGGATTCAATTGCACCGATCTGAAGACGACGAAAAAGAATACGAATACGACGCGGGAGCAACAGCCATGATGATGGAGACGATGAGCCGAGCGCTGGATAGGGCGAAGATGCTCGTCGGAATGGAGTCCGATGAGGAATCCCTTGCCCAAGAAGCACAGTCGTCGTCCTTCTTCGACGAATTCGATCGCAACTGCACCCTCTCCACCAAGCAGGTCCTCTCTATGCCCCATTCCTCGAATCACCGATTTGGTGGAATCCTATCTCTCTCTTTTCCATAGGTCCGCTAGGGCTTCTCTGTGGCCGTTAATATTTTGCCCAAAAGATCCGATCTCGGTGTTGTTACTCTGTTCGAGGCTGGATCCAGTTGAGAATTGCAGGGATCTAGCTCCTCTTCCTTCTCGATGAATTTGATGGAAACTGCACCCTCTCCGTCGAGCATGTCCTCTCTCTTCTCCTTTTCCCGAATCACTGAGGTGGTCGAATCCTCTCTATCTTTCACAGATCCGGTAGGGTTTCCTTTGGCCGTTAATCTTTTGCCAAAAGAGATCCACCCTTGGTGAAGCTACTCTGTTCGATGCTGGATCCAGTTGAGAATTGCATGGATCTTGCTACTCTCCCGGTTGAAATCTTGCTAGATTTGTTGTGATCCGATTCGCAGACGTTTTTCGGCTGTCCACAAGAAAATTTGAGGTTTTTCTTAATGCATTCTTGGTATTCTGAAATTTTGGCAACTTAGTTGCCCCTTGGCGGGTCATGCACAGTGCTGTGATTTAGTCTAAACGTACGCTTATGCCATGCTTTAATATCACGGTAATAGGGCTTGTGTTATGCTCTTCGTTTAAGTTCATTTATTTGGAGAGGATCTTGCTACGATGAGTTTCTACCATTTTGTTAAATTGGAAGACATTTGGTTTTAGACTTGTGGTGCATCATTTATTTCTAGTTGTTGATAGCTGATGATTTCAGGTTGAAGTTCTTTGAGTCAACGCTATGATGGCCAGGTTCTGCTGTATGATATTGTGGTATCTCTGATGCTTGTTGCAAATTTTGATGATGATATACATGCTAGATTACATGTTTGCCAAGCCCTTTTTCTTGATGTCGTATTTGGCTGTTTCCTAGCTGAAATTTTTTAATTTTTTTCCCATTGGTTTAGCAATGTTTGGCACAATCTCTTAGATCTACATTATTTGCTTTGGAATGTAGAAGTTTTGGAAGTCTTATACTTATATGAGATTCTCAAGGTACATGAACTGATCATTGGCTATTTCTCATCGCTCAGAGATTGTATGGTTTCGCCATTTGTTTATCTGCAGGTCTAGCCTGTACGATCCTGGTAATCTAACCATCTTTCTGTTGTTATTTTTATTTCTATTAATCAATCTGTTCAATTATTATAAATTGGTCATGATAACAGATAATCTGCATCATATATTGGTGATCAATGTAAAACAAAGTTTTATGCCCTTTCCTTTAGTATATATGAGGTTATAGATTAGTAAATGATTTATTGTCTTAGTGCATATTAATGGACGATAAACTGGAAATAGGTTTAGTAACAAGTCTTCAATTTCAACGAGTACAAAACATTAAGTATTTTTTCCATTTTTTTTATCTCTTTAGTTTGCTGCTTTCTGTGCTTTCAATTACTGATCCTTGCTTTTCCAAATTTTGTGACAGTCCATGCTTGTTTTCTTCAATCCAATCAAATTTGGCATAACATTCACCTTTGGCAATTTGCTTGCGCTTGGAAGGTCTGCACCCTCTTTCCAGAAAGTGACGATCCTTGATCCTATGATTTTGTTGTTATGATGTTTCTTATAGGTTTTTGGTCATTTGAATCTTGCTACTATGTTTTAAATCAGTGTTGGGATTTCATACGAGTAGGGGCTGCTTCTATATTCTGATGATGGTTAATATGTTGCCTTTTTGTTAAATTTTCTATTAGATTCTTCTTAGTTTCTACACCACTAAGGTTTTTTCAGGGTCAACATATATCGAGTTTTCTGGAATCAGTTTATTTTTTTCTATTTATCCATGACTGTGGTTCTTTTACTTTTTAAGCTTTCCTGAAGTTGGATCTCTTTTATATGGCAGCACAGCTTTTCTTATAGGTCCCAAACGACAAATTGATATGATGCTTGATCCTGTCCGTATATATGCAACATCTATATTCATAGCAAGTATGATAATAGCTCTGTTTTGTGCTTTTTATGTAAGTATGCTTTTAACACTCTTGTGAAATAAATTATCTTTTCATGTTTGTTTTAACATACAAAAATTTGATGGACTTATATTACTGCTACACTACAAATAAACAGGTCCACAATAAACTCCTGACACTTCTTGCTATTATTCTGGAGTTTGGTGCCCTCATTTGGTGAGTCGATGTCAATGTTCAGTTAGTAGTTGTTAACTTTTTTGTCTCTTATATGTTTGTTGGCATCTTTAACTAACATATTCTGTATCACCAATTTTGTGTAAAGTGGATGTACATTTCAGTTGGCTGTTTAAAACATTTTATTCATCACATGGTAAATTTGTGCCGTGTTTTATCCATGATTTATTTTAGGCAATTTCATCTCTGGTTGTGTTAACCTTCACTTGAGCGAATAAGTCTCTTTCTACATAATGGGATCAAATTTATGGATGAAGTACATAATGCATAAAGTCTGAGAATTTTATGTCTCTTATGTTTATTTAAAGCCTTGTAATGTGCGGGGAATTTTTAGCCAAGGCAAAATTGGGGAGGATATTCCCTTGCCATACCAAGAAATCTCTAGGTAAGATGGGATATATGATTCCTTGATTTAAGCTGGTCTAGGTAACATCCTCTTAGGCCCCACCAGACCACAAAAATGGAGAGCTTTCTTGACAAATACATTTAATGTTCCATCTCCTCATCCTCCAATGTGTTCTGCTTTCTTTCTGGAGTCGCATACCTGTAGTGTCTAAATTGAACAAACAACATTAGTGATAAGACTTAATTCAGGGCGAAGGTCCTTATTCTGGTAATTCTCATCAAACATGGGATCCCTGGGAGAAAGACTATCAAGGTTTGAATGTCTTCAGGCTAAGGTAAAAGCTAAGACTTACAGAGTGCTAAAACTAGGGGATTTTCGAGATCGTAAGCCAGGTGAATTATGTAAGGCTTACGAGAAGAACAAATAAGCTCTTTAATATCAAGTACTTGATGTCCTCTTAAGAAGTTCAATATTTGTTACGCAATGATCACATAACACAAAGATATATACATTCATGTGGAAGCTAAATAGACTATAAGATTGCAGAATCCAGGGCAATGAAGCATACTAACCAAATCAAATTTGCAGAGTAGAAGTGCTTGCTGAATATGAAATGTTCAAAATAGAAGGCATGTCAACTGAATCAATTAATTGGATCAAGTGCTTGCTTTATAATTTTGTGACTTGTTTCATGCTACTATTGTTCCTGAATGGGGGCATCATAGGTCGGTTGGTTACTAAAGCAATAATATGGAAATTTTATGGATCAGATATCCTGTTATAATTGATACATGCATGGTACATGAATATAATCCTTCGGTTCTAACTTGAAGGGTCATTGACAGAATTCATTTTTAGACCATACATGCATTTCTGATGATAACTCTACATTTCCTTTCACGTATACAGGTATAGTCTCAGTTATATTCCTTTTGCAAGATCAGCTGTTTCAAAAGTCATGGTTGCTTGCTTTGACACTGAGTTCTAAGCTTTAACTGATTCAAAAGGAAGTTTATTGATCTCATGACTGAACTCTTTCTCATGTGTCCCTGATTGCTGTGATGGTTGACCATTTTAAAATGGTGGGAAGGCATTGAACAGGAGAACTCTCGACACTAGGTTTCTCCCATAATTTGTAAATTAGTGATCATCATGTGAAGTTGAATGCTGTATATCTTCCAGTGTGCTGCTCTATTAGTTTTTTCCCTTTAATGGCTTCGCACGAGGCATTGGTTTTCTTCATGCCTTTACTCCATAGTAGATATATAGGTATGAAGAATGCAACATTCTCTTTGGAGTATCCCATCTTCATCAAGCAAGTGTATCAAGACATGTTTTATGTTGCTGAGACTTGGCTTTAATTATATGACAAGGTGGCCCAAGAATTTTTCTTCTTAATCATATAGATGAAAACACTTCAAAAGTAGAACATGATTTGAATTTCAATTATTCTTGTAAACTGTTGCTCATGCACTTTGGGTTCTCTGGTGGCACAGGTGGGGAGAAGAACCAAGGTGAATATTCTTATTTCCATCGTTTAGAAATCTGAATAAAATTATGTGTGCTTCAAGTAATAAGAATTAGAAAAGCAGTTAGGTGTTTTTTTCATATTCTTATCAATATCTTTAGAAATTAAGGCAGCACAAAAATGTACTTGTTTTTCGTTTGAAGAATAATTTTTTTGTAGGTAAAGTTTTAGATTTAATTATACTGAAAATGAAAATAAAAATCCTTGGCTCATGAGATACAGTTTTCCATCCTCTCTCTCTTCTGTTTCTAGTAATCTCCATCTAATTGCATTTCTGTATCAAAAATTTTTAATATAAAAAAGGAAAAAAAAAAAGAAAATATGTATGGCAATCATGGTTCGAAGTTGCGGAGTCATATGGTAATTTTATTTCGTTTAATGTCGACTTAAATTACTTTTAGGCTTCAACTTTCTGAAGTATGTTTGTGATTTTAGGCTCTTAAGACTTTTCCCCCCAAATGGCTCACTTTTAAAGAAAATGTTTTCTATCTTGAAGAAAAAAATTATTCCCCTTTGATTTTGCTGCAGAAAGTGTTTTGTTGAAATTTTTGTCTTAGCTAATGCTAATGGTTCTATTTTTTTCTCCATAAATAAAAGCTTCTTCGAGTAAAAAAAAAAAAAGAATTTAAAATCATAATAAACTGTTTTATGTTTTCCTAAAAAAATTCGTCTGAATCGTTTTTGTGAGAAATAAATATAATTAGCATTTTTGAGAGGATTTCTTGACCTCTTTTATATATGTCTTTATTCTATTTATATATTTTTTATCCATCGATAAACCTCATCTCCTCCTCGCAAGAGACCAAAGACGGCTCTGCGAGGCGCCCACCCAAGAATGGGCGTGCTCTCGGTTCATCCTCGTCCTTGTCCGCCCAATCCCCACTTCTCTGGCTTCGATTTCACCCCCAGCTCTTGCAGACCGCGTCTGGCCCTCTTCTCTCCTAGTCCGCGAAGAAGCCCTCTCCAGATTCGGCGCTTTTCGTCTCCCGAAGCGACGGACGACGGATTCGTGGTCGTGGAGGACGATCTCCACACTCTTCTTGAGGTGATGCTTCTTCGATCCTCGTTCTTTCGTGCTACTGGGTTGTGCTGGGAACTCTAAAAGGTGGAATAACGCATGGAAATTTCAAATGACCGACCTGACTTCTAATGATTCAATTTGATGATAAGTTGCAGTAAGATCATGGTTAATGTTCTGGGCGATGTTTTCAGGGTCATTTCGAGATGGAAATAGTTGTTACTAGGCGTTGCACAAACTCGTATAATGTTATGCGGTGTGGTTCGAGAGAGAGAATAGATAAGAGTAATTCCATCTGATTACATAGCATTAGCTCCCTGGCTCCTAAGTTTCTTTCTTGTAGTAAATATGTTTGCTTACACAATAATCACTTGCTTTTGCTGGTCATGCTTCAAGTTCCCATGCGCTTTGTCTATTGTCAGTACACATCTATTTTTAATGACCAGAAATTTACACACAATCATGACAATTAGTGAAAGACAATGCAATCAATTGCTGAGCCAACTGTGTTCTCTTTGTCTTCCATACTTGTGGATGTCTTTCTTGGGTATAATTCAACGCCTTTTAAAGAAAGCAACCGTTTCAGTAATTATGAGCAGGTTTGTGTTTCCTGAAATTTTGGACAAATTGAAGATGACAATTACAATGGTCGACAAAAGAAAAGGTTTAATGGCGTGACAGCCATTAGCTTCAGTTCAGTGCTTACTGGTTTGCGAGTATAAGCGCAATCGTGGTAGCTCATCTTTTGCAGGTTTTACCTAGAGATCTGCGAGAGAATCTGCAAAGTGAGCCTAGAAGAGACCAACTCCTAGAGGTAAATGATTGCATTTTTCTGTGACATGGATCATGCTTCACTTGTTTGAACATTATGGAAGTCTTAAGTTATATTGTTTTTTCTTTAATTCACTCATTATGAGAAAATATGTAATTGAAAATTTATAATAATGAGGTTGTTGCTTATATTGCCCAGTGTTCCACATATCTTATAATTAGGTTATACTGGATTTGGGTCGCCGACCTGAAGCACGTTTCCTTGGTGAATCTGGTGGGCAGTATCTGAGGGACAAAGAGGTGATAGTAGTGGCTTGTGATGTCATTTACACCTATGGGTTTCTTGTAATGTTTTCTCTAATACATGCTATCTTTTCCATTAATTCAGATACTCTCCATACTTGTTCTTACTAATTTTATGGCTTTTATTTTCATGTTATGTGGCTCTCAAAGCTTGCTTATTTTTTTTCGTTTGATTAGGCTATAGTTAGTTATACTATCTAAATGCTTTTCTCATGTATGGTGTTTTTCCTGATAAGAATCCTGTTGCATACACTTGGTGTCTTATGTTGCCCTCATACTCTGTGTTCCAGATTTCACTGGAAGAGTTGGAGGAAGCTCAAAAATCACTTGGAGAATTTGGAGGAGACAACCGAGCTGGCATTGAAGGTACTTTGCATAGGATATCTGCGATAAGGAGTCGGAAAGGGCTCGTTGTTGGATTGACTTGTAGAGTTGGTCGAGCAGTTAGTGGTCATGTTGACATGGTGCGTGATCTCCTAGAGTACAGAGAGAGCATCCTCTTTTTAGGAAGGTATTTTGTTTATCCTTTTAGTAAGCATGACTTAGGAAGGTATTTCTGTATGTAGTTTGTAAGAAGGATGGCCAACATAGGGGAGAAATATATCAAGAAAGTAACTGTTTAGAGAATGACATTCTCATTGATTCTTTGAGTATATTTCTTTTGTTTTCTTGGTCTTATGCAATGCAAAAAACATCCTTGAAGTTAATGCGTTCTCAGCTATGAGTAAGTATCAATGTGTACTGTATATTCTGGATTTAGCGGTTGATATTGAATTTGCTAAGCAAGATTCTATTTTTAATCTTCAGTACATGATACATAAGGAGTTCTCTGTACAGCTAAGTTCAACTAAATGATTTAACATGAAAAGGGATGGTTCGAGCAGCTAACCGAAAAGGAGTTGAAAAGAAAAGGCTTCAGAAATGGAGAAGATAAATGCATTTTTTATGATGGATTTGTTTTTCCTGCAAAGTAGTAACTATTATCTTTATAAGAAACGGCACAAAATAATCATGTTAACATGTCAATTTGATAGCATTCACTATGTTGTATTGCCTGCTGAAACTAATGTATTTCCAGAATTTGTGGGCTTTTGTATTTGTTATTGCATTGGTGTTTGATATGATTGCTGTCATTTTTATTTTTCTATTTTATCAGACCTGGAGTTGGTAAGACTACTGTCATGCGTGAGATTGCACGTGTCCTAGCTGATGAACTCCATAAGAGAGTGGTATAGCTAACTAACTCGTAAGTTCTTATTGGTTTAATGTTTGTAGTTATGATATGTAACACTTTACATTCTTTATATATACACTGATGATTAGGATAGGTGATTGTGGACACCAGCAATGAGATTGGAGGTGATGGAGATATTCCTCATGCAGCAATAGGTGGTGCAAGGAGAATGCAAGTTCCTGAACCATCCATGCAACACCGAGTCATGATTGAAGCAGTCGAGAATCACATGCCGGAGGTGGTTATTGTAGATGAGATTGGCACAGAAGCTGAAGCACTTGCTTGTCGCTCAATTGCAGAAAGAGGAGTGATGCTTATTGGCACAGCTCACGGAGACCGATTGGCAAACATCATTAAGAATCCTACTCTATCTGATCTGGTATTCAAACATACTGTTTAGCTTAAACTGGAATTAGCAGTTGCATTTAAAGTCAGCATCCCTGTGGATAAATCCTGTGTATTCTTTCCTTCTCATAGCTGTTCAAGCATGCTGTATATTTCATAGTGTGTGGTTGTATTCCTTTTCTTATGGTGGTGCAACATTCATGAACATTGATGCACATCTCTTAAGTGATCTCCATGGACATGCTGCTGCATTAAATGGTCTGGGCTTTGCCCCTGAGAAGAGAAGGGAATGATTTAATCTCTGTAAAAGGAGTAAAGATAGTTTTAGAGTCTGTGTGAAGGCTTTGCACAAAGGCATCCGAAAAATTCACATGCGGTCATGTATAAACATTGTTTCTTGGTTTAGATTAGTTCAAATGAGGTGATGTATAAACATTGTTTCTTGGTTTAGATTTTTGAGAAGATTTGTGCAATAGCAAAAAGAAATGGTGGCTCACTAAGGTCAGCTGCCATCCTTTGTGCTTCAGTTATTACCCACTGGAAATGGCCAAAGTAATAATAGTTACATTTTACTGTTAAAGTGTAACCTGAGAATAAAAAATAGATCTCTGTCCAGTCTATATTGCATCTGTCATTCAAAGTACATCTTTACATTGCTAAAGTTTTGCATTCATTGATTTCCATGTCCGGATTTAATTTGTGCTGCATGCCACACTGTTTGTCATATACTACTGTGAGATTATTTGAGTTAAAATTGTGCCTGCAAACTTATGTCTTTACTAATCTGAACATAATTTTTCTTTTGATGTGTGTCAGTTTGCTTGAAAGATTCACTTGTTTAGTCTCTTACCATATCAGGAACTTGATAGATTAAGATTCAGGCTTACATTTATATTTCCATTATTGAACATCCAGGTTGGTGGAGTGGAGACTGTCACTCTAGGAGATGACGAGGCACGAGCAAGACGGAGTCAAAAAAGCATCCTTGAGAGGAAGGCTCCACCAACATTTCCTTTCCTAATAGAAATGAGGGAACGGAACTACTGGGTTACACATCGGGTAAGTTATTTTCCTCGTTACAACATGTTGAGCAGTTTCTTCACCTGTAAACATATAGAATACTGTGATTTATAAAGTAAAATAAACATGTGTGTCTATGGAACTAAACCTTTGGAGGCACATAGAAGAAGGGTTGTAGGGAGCAGGCAGGCACGGGGATGTTGACGGCTCAATTAGAGTTAGATGTTAGTAATCCTCACATTTCAGTATTAGCTTGCAGTTTCGATGGAGGAACCACAAGAGCCATATGGTGTGGGTGGGTGTGTAACTCAATGAGTCGTATGAATTTGAAGTTATTGTAGTCAGAAACCAGATAGATGGTCATCAATATTGAATCAGATTTAAATGGTTTTGCAGTAGAGAACTTATCATGGTAACTGGTTTTTCTATCTATGATTTAATCAAGATGTTATTTGTGATCGCCCCTGTTGCTGAGCATCTTCGTAAATTTTATTTTTCCTATGGCATCAACGATTTCATATTGTCTGCTCCTTAAAGGTCTTCAACTGTAATTACACTCAAAAAAGTCTTGGTGCCATATGTGTTGAACCAAATTATTGCTCTAATATTTCTTGGTTGTACAGACAGAAAGGAGTGTCGATATGTTGCTCATTGGCAAGAAGCCATTGGTTGAGGTAATAAGCTTAACAAAAATTAATCTTCAATTAGTTTTAGTCAAAGTTCTGCCAAAGCAATGACTCACCTGCTCCTGTCTTATTTTAACTGTAAACTGGAATAAGTAGTGAAACAATTTTATTTGTCTATGTTATGCATGTCCACAACGAACGTGGAGTTGTCTTTTTCCTGGATCAACACACTTCAACTACTGCACTGAAGAATGTTTATTTTGCAGATAAGGAAGAGAGATGACCAGTTCAAGGTTGTCGTGGAGAGATGGAAAACATACGACGGAGATGGGATATAATGTGCTTTTGTGCTTCTCGAGTATTCCCTTGCTTTGTTCTGCATGTCTAATTTGTAATTTAGTTTTGGGTTTGTCTTTTGAGTTACACTAACTGCAATTGTTTTACAACATACCGATTAGCAATGGCCTTGGAATAATGACTTGTCTCTCTTTTTCTGTGGTATTTAGTAGGGATTAAGGTTTATTTTAATCATAAGTTCTTTATAATTTATTCATATCTAAAATAATCTTTATATTTTTAAAAATATAACATATAAATTTTTTTATTTATTCATAATAAATTATTAATATAATGATATATATAATTTAAGGTTAATATACATTTTAGTTTTTATGATTTTGATCATTAATTTCTTAAGTCTTTATGATTTACTTATATTTAAAATAATTTTATATTTAAAAAATATAGCATATAAGTACATTTCGTCAAGTTAGAGTTAATAAACGTTATAGTTTTTTTACGTGATATATTAACTTATATTAAATTATTAATATAATAATATGTATAATTTAAGTTAAAAAAATTGAGATCTCTATCACTAGTAGGATGAGACATCGTCATGGAAGTAACCACTAGTAATGATATCGAGTATCAACCCATTGTTGTTTAGCAAGGTGTTTTAAGCACACGTCCTCTCTCATGTTGATGATAAGCTTAGGAGCTTCCGATGCCCTTTTAGGTAGTAGCGATTTAAGCTTAGGAGCTTTCGATGCCCTTTTAGGTAGTAGCGGTTTAGTGTTACTGTTGGTGGTCATTTTGACGATGATGTCTCCTACCATTAATGGAAGTCTAAGATTTTTTAAAACTTAAATTATACGTATTATTATATTAGTGATTTATTATGAGTCAACATGTCATGTAAGTAGACTCTAACATTTATTAACTCAGACTTGATATCAGAGGCATATATATTATATTTTTTAAAATATAAAGATTATTTTAGATACGAAGTAAACCATAAATATTTAAGAGTTGCACGACCAAAATCATAGGAGATAAAAATTTTACGAGTGTTCCATAGTGATCAGATATCATTAAATATTTAATTATGTATTTATATAATTTAAATTCTTTAATTATAAACATGGTAAGAATCGTCAATTTGAGTTAATGTATGATTATGAACGTATAGGTTAGTTTAGCTTATAAATGTTTTGATAATTTAACCTAAAGTTGTATGCTTAAATACTATCTTAAAAAAAATAAATATTAATGTATGATATGCATAATTTTTTTATTGAACGACACTAAACCTCGTACTCTAGATTGCAAATTTAATGATATCATCCAAGATAATGGTCAGAAAAGTTGCAACTTGAAATAGAACATGGAAGCTACCATCAAGACGAGGGATGGTATTAGCATGTGATCAGTGTTGATTTAATAAATCAAATCTCGAAGAAAGATTTTAAGTGGAAAGCTGTGACTTAGAAATCCATAAAACTTCTAAAATACTTAATTTCTTGAAGACATCGATATTATATTATTATGCGGAAGGGTGTGAGCATACTTCTAAAATTAATAGGATCATATTATTTTGAGTTTCACTGACAGCAATTAATTAAAAGGGTGCATGTCTAAATTTTTAGATTTTGTGCGTATATATGTGTTAAGTTTAAATTCAGAGATAAAGATAAAAATTATTTGTTTTGAAGGTATATATATATACCTTCAAAACAAATAATGTTTATATTTATCTCTTTAAATTTAAACTTATATATATATATGAGTATATATATCCACAAGGCGTGTGTATATATATATACATATATATATGTATATATATATATATGTATATATGTATATATATATATATATATACATGAAAGAAGAGGGCTTTTCAATCGAGAACGGGTTCGCTCTGTGGTTTGCTATCGAACGATCGTGACCGTCAATCTATATCAAACTCATCTCTGCCGTTCACGCGAAGGCACGAGAGATCTGGATGGAGGGTTAGGATCACCTGGCAGCCGATATATAAGTCACTGCGTTTGTCCACAAGAACGAGAGAGAGTGAGAGAGAGAGACGGGCGGTTAAGGTGGAAGGCACCCACCGGACGCCAGACACACAGAGAGAGAGAGAGAGAGAAAGAGAGAGAGATGGAGAAGAATCCACCGGAATCCAAGCTCGCTGCCCCCGGCGTCAGGGAATGGCCCAAGTATTCCCTCTTTCTCCACCTCCCCGTCGTTTCCACATTTTCTTCTTCTTTCTGTTGTTTTCTGGCAATTGAATGATCCGCTTCGCATAAGGGTTCGAAGGATAACAGCGTTTAAAGAACCATTTGTTTCCCTTCTGGTAGTAGAACGTTTCTTTAGTTCTTTCACTTTTCCATAAACCCTCCAAAGAATTCGAGTCGGTAGATCTTGATTAGTTATGAAGGTTAATTTATTTTGGATCTTCAGAAAAGCAATGCCCGGAAGACATCATGGATTTTGAGTGGAGGGAAGACACTCGCAGGGCGAACGACTTCTTTCGTTGTCATGACGCAGAAGAATGTGGTCGATGGTGCTGACTGGTTATTTGGGTGAAATTGGTAGGTGACACACTAACCCTACAACACGAATGGTCGCATGATTGTGCTGTAAGTTTCTTGCTTTTACCTTTCCTTTTTCTTTTGATGGAAACATGGAATGTTAAAGGCCAATCTCAGAGAAATGTTGCTCCACTTCTTGGTTGCTGCACAAGTTCTTGTCATCTAGAACTCTATGAGGACTGACCCCCCTGGTCTTAGCTAGGGTGTGGGGATCATGAGCTATTGTATATACCTCCGTAGGGCACCATGTAGGTTAGGTCAACCAAATTTGTGATGGGAATCTTGTCTGACCGGCCTTTTCTTCAGGCTCCCTTTGTTGAACTTTTGATAGGTTTAAGAATAAAAGATGGATAAAGAACTTCTTGATAGGTTTAAGAACAAAAGATGGATAAAGAACCAACCATCAGTTTTACATGAACATGGGTATGGTTCTTTAGGCTCCCTTTGTTGAACTTCTTGATAGGTATAGGAATGAAAGATCGACAAAGAACCAATTATCACTTTTAGATGAACATGGGCAAGAATGTACTATGTTTGTTTAAAGTTCCAATTCAATGAAATTACCAAATGAGAGATACAGGGACCTGTAGGGGAAGGAGAATTAATATAAATGATGCTGTTAGGATGTGAAGTACTGGAACTGAAGTTTTCAGAAAGCAAGCTGCAGAATAATTAAAGATCCACCTGTTGTATTGGTATGCCTCTTTGATAGCGAAGTGGTATAGTCAAAGAATTCGATAATTTATCGATTTCGGTAGAAAATTCATATGACACTACCGATTATACGAGGATTTTGAACAATGGTATGTTGTTTAGCACATGTCACATATATAATCGGTCGTTAAAGACTATCCATTATGAGTGAGCTTTGAACGATGCTTTTATATCTTTATTCTCCTAATGTCAATGCTTTTATATCTTTATTCTCCCAATGTCAATCTTAGGTCAATGTTTTTTTTTTTTAATCTATGGACTTTCTATATCCGAATGGTAAATAAACTAGAACTCTAAAATAAGCAAACTTATGAGACATCATTATTTTAGACTATAATGACCTTCTAGTTCTTTAGCTAAATTATACCTGAAGTAGGACTTCCTAAAATTTAGTTAAATTTTTATTGTTTGTGTTCGTGTCTGATGTCAGATGGGGATCTCCTCCAGGCAAATTCCCATGGACGAGGAGGGCAAGGTGAAGGTGTACCCCCGAGGGGCATAGAGATGAGTCTCCCCTGGTGGAGTTTTCCATGCCCTTGGGATGTCTTAGAGAGAGTGGGGAAGAGTAACACTGATGAATCCTTCTTGTTGTTTCATTTGAGCTAACCGGATCTTGTTTTGTTCCTGGTGTTGTTAATCCACCACCATAACTGTTCACAGTAGCATAAGTTCAAGTTAATCACCTTTGGCTCCTGTTTCTGGTTTGGGTTAATCTCAAGCATCGAGCAGGCAAATCACATTCAGATAGAAAGGTATAAAGGGTACAACATTCAGATCTTATGCTTTTAATACATTGAATCTTATCATCATGGTTAAGAAGAATAAAAACAAGAGAGATTTCTTTGCATGTTCCACTTTGGGAAACTTGTTGGAACCCAGATGGCTTCTGATGCCACTCGTGTTAATGCAAATGTTATTGTGTACGAAGGGGGGGGGGGGGGGTCATTATATCAATGCAAAATGACATGTATAGATTTTACAGATCATGGTGATTAGTGGGAATCACATGCTCATGGCTCCCGACGTGAGCTCAGATTCTCCTTCCGTCTCACCTGCCACTGCCACTTCTTCGACCACGAGATCCCTGCTCTTGTCGTTCTCAGAAAGGTATCCCTCCAAGGCATCAACCCCACGTAAAATTTTTGCTCCACATCCTGGTTTGTCAGCAGAGCCGATGGCTTCCTCGTCCACCACTACTGCATCGATTCGCTCACAGCCGGTTTTCACATCAGGGATCTAAAAGCAAGTGCACAATAAGTTAAGATTCAGGAAAATCAAGGTCAGTAAAAAATCCTATTCATCTTCTTTGGTGAGCATAATACCTCAAACATGGCCTCGATAAGCATACTCTCCAAAATGGCTCGCAAGCCTCGTGCACCAGTGTTCTTGGCCATTGCTTTTTTAGCAATCAACCTAAGAGCAGTGCCCGTGAAATGCAGCTTAACCTGTTAACGATCTGGTATGATCAAGCAGCTTTCTTTCTTGAAACACAAATGAAATATGTATGATATGCGCACTGACATTATTCATGCTGAAAAGTTTCCTGTACTGCCGACCGAGAGCATTCTTTGGCTCTGTCAACACCTGAACAAGTTGGTCTTCGCTCAGAGATAATAAACTAACTAGTATCGGGAAACGTCCAACGAATTCTGGAATGAGTCCATATGCTATCAAATCGCTACTCTCCACCTGTGCAAGCAACATGCAAGAACCATATAACGTAATGAAATAGTTGATTGAAACATTGAGTTTGGTGGTAATAATCACAGCAATTTTCTTGTGAATTGAAGTTATTATTGGAGCTTACGGATTCTAACAAGGAAGATGTCACTAGAGCATTCGTCAACCCACCACTTCTCATGTTTGCACGGACTGGTGCTCCAAAACCTATAGAAGAGTCCTGTCGTCTGTTCCACCAAAAAAAAAACAAGTCATTGTAGTCAGAAAAAAGGTACCGTACTATCTGAAGAGTATCACAGATGTTCATAATCTACCTTTCTGAAATAGTCTTTTCCAGATCAACAAAAGCACCACCACATATGAAAAGAATGTCCTTGGTATCTATCTGCATATAACCAAACCAAGCATTAGTTTCTGAAATGAAAAAAAGGTAAATTCAATTTATCTAATAACCACAACTAACACAGTTGCAAAGTATTATTAAAGAAGCAAATATGCCACAGGCAGATCCGAGAGCAAAATATTGATGCGCACTGAATTCACAACCAATTCAATCGAAGAGTAAATTTACAATGCAGCGTACACCTTTTACCCAGATTTCATTTCTCCCAACTATGCACTTGTCAACCTATCTTCGTAACCAATGCATGCATATATATATATATATATATATATATATATATATATATATATATAGCAGAAGGCTTTTGACTCCAAACAAGTGAACATGCAGACAACTAAAAAATTAGCTAGAATGTAGAACACTATTCGCATGCATATATATGTCATGTCTACAAACCTGTATATTGTCACCACGTGGGTGCTTCCGAGCTCCCTTCTCCGGAACATTGACTATCTACGAAAAAATAGTTTCTGAAATCAATGCGCATTAGAAACAGTTCATCCACAATCCACAAAACTCGGCCCAAGAATCTACAACTTCCAGAAAGAACTTCAGACATCAATGCACATTAAAAACAGTAAATCTACAAACAACATGAAGAAAACCATTCACATTGAAGGCCAGCAAATGTTCTTCAGCAAACTTGAGGTCACAGATCCAGTTGAAGCCCAAAGGATCTCACAAGATGTAAAATTGAATTGCTTAAACGACAAAAATGCTAATTAGTATATGAAATCTTTGACTAAGGAAATACCAAAATATAACATGAGTCACTACATGCTGTGGTATGGATCAATGCGTCTTACTGTTGGTACTAAGTTTTGTCAAGACTTAAAGGATTCTCCTATCTTATAATTTAGTGAAAAATTAAAGAGATGTGACAAGGTTTCCTACAATCTCCAATTTCCCAAGTATCTAACTGTACATGAACAAATTGTTCGTACTTATCCACAGGGCAAATGGATTAATTAATCCACTATGTAAAATACTACATAGAACAAAGGTGCATGCTGAAGAGCATGCACAAGAGATGGACAATTATCTGACATCAACATGCGATTCAGTCTGGAGTGACAACAATTGTCTACCAGTAATCAATAATTACTTATATGTTGATATGTGAAAACCACGGGCAAATATAATGTGCAGGGCGAAATTTTAGTTACTAATTCACTGTAAAGATAGCCAGCCACAAATTGTTGGGGCCTTATCATGTGAACTTACAGTAGCAATGATGCATCTGATGTACAATTAAACAAGTCTCTTTATCTGATAAAGAAGTACCGTAACTTTGAAATCCCATGTAACGGCCATAATTTTGTTGGTGCATTTAGTAGCAACATGCACCATCATGAAAAAAAAAAATAATATATATATATATATGGTCAAATTTGTTAGTCAATTCATCCTGATGAAATACTGAAAAAGAAAAGATTAAAGTGTTCAGAACTTGATGGTCAATTTTGCGAAGTCAAATTAACGACCATATTTGATCATATAAGATATATTACCTTGTGAATTCATTATTTGGGAATGTTGCCAATTCTTTTCAGTCACACTCCGTTTACTATTCAATTATCATCTATTTAGATCAGCTAGTCTTTAAAGTGAATACGTCTTTTCGACTTCACCACATGTTTAGAATTCCTATTTGCCTGCAAGTCGTATATTTCCAATATTTTTGACAATTAGTTGTAGATAGACAGGACTCCACCAAATTATATCCTCAACATTAAATATCGTAAATGGTATAGACGCAATCAGCCATGCTCATATTATCATACAACCATGCTCATCAAGCAAGATAAGTGGGACTGGAAACGTATGTTACCCTCAAATTCTCACGATAGACTTAAAGAGCACATAAATAGCATAGAGATTGTAAATTATCTTGTAACTGAAGAAAAAGAGCATGATGCCTAACTTACAGTTCCTTCTAGCATTTTCAACAATGCTTGTTGAACACCTTCACCAGATACATCTCTACTAATGTTCAGGCTCTCAGCCTGCATAGATACCCTGCATAAGATTGCTGATGCAAACAAAACGAACCTACAATTCAATATATGGTTATTATACCTAACCTTCTTAGTAATCTTGTCAACTTCATCAATATACACTATTCCCTGTTGAGCTGCCAGCACATTGAACTCAGCAACCTACATATTGCCACAAAAATAAGCATAAGCACAAGGTATATTTAGGAGGGAAAAATAACAAAAAAGAGATTATCATATTAAAAGCAAAGCATCAGTCTGTGAAGGATGATTATAAACAATAGAAATAAGGGTGATAAATACAGATCAATGGTGAGGACAAAAGAAATAGAAGGATAGATGTGTAATAATTGCTCATCACAGTCCAAATAGATGAACATAAAATACTTAATTTCATCGTTTTCTAGGATTCATCAAGGATCTAGAGAAAGTAGCAAGAAAGCAAGCCTGTGATTGACGATGGGACTCGTGATTAAATATAGCTCAGTCAATTCTTCAGTTTGACCACTTTGACTGGACTTGATCCAAAAACAAATGATGAGAGGTCAAGGATGTAGAGGCAAAACCAACCCATTTATCTGGCACAGGAACACAACCAAGATGTGAACTACCCAGTGATTGAAAGAGGCGCTCGGGCACTCGCCTAGGCGCTCGGGCGCTCGCTTAGGCACTCGGGCGAGGCGAGGCGAGGCCCGAGCGCCTCGCTAATGTCCCAGGCGGCGCGCTTCAAACAGGAGCCGCCTGGGCGCTCGCCCGAGCCTAGGCGCTGGGCGCTTCGGGCGAGCGCCTAGGTAAACCAAGTGACCGAACCAGGATTTTAGGTTTGGTTCGGTCCTGGTTCGGTTGTTAGTTGGTTCAATCGAACCAACTAAACCGATATAACCCTTACCCAACCCTAACCCGCTGCCGATCTCGCTGCTCGTCGCTCCTGTTCCCGCTGCCGCTGCTCGCGCCTCCCGTGAGCCCTCCAGCTGCTCGCGCCTCCCGCGAGCCCTCCCGCTGCTCGCGACTCCCACGAGCCCTCCCGCTGCTCGCGCCTCCCGCGAGCCTTCCCTCTGCTCGCGCCTCCCACGAGCCCTCCCGCTGCTCGCGACTCCCGCGAGCCTTCCCTCTGCTCGCGACTCCCGCGAGCCTTCCCGCTGCTCGCGCCTCCCACTCCCTTTCCCTTTCCCGCCGCCGCTCGCTGCTGCTTCCTCGTTTCTCCGTCAGGCTCAGTATACAGTATACTCTTAATATTAAGTTTATTTGAATTTTGAAATGATTAATTTTCAATACTGTTAATAGATTAATAATATATTATTTTGATTTTAATGTTGTTAATTTTTATTTATTTGAAATTATTGCTAGGTTTCATTAAATAATTATATTTATTAATTATATTATATATTTTTATATTTTAGCGCCTCGCTTCGCTCAGGCGAGCGCCTAGCGCCTCGGACGTTTTTGGACCTTGGCGCCTTTTGGCGCCTAGCGCTTTTTAAATCACTGGAACTACCTACTTGCACTTTAATTCATCTTAGTTTGTTAACTTTGCATCTTGGCTTTTAAAAGCTAAAACACTGTAGATTGGCTAATGTCACTAAAGGTCTTCTGGTCCTTTGGATCATTGGATAACGTTGGGTAACCCAGATAACATCAATTTATGCTCAGGAATTCATGTGCAAAACATGTGCATATGCAGTCCATATAAAGATATTTTAAAATATATACAACCAAGAACTATATAATCATATCCAAGTAATTCGCAAGAATTTATGTTACTTCCAAATCAAGAAATTATGAAATACGGGTATCCTCATTTATGAACCTATTTAAATGATTTAAGTTATAACATAAGGCAAAAGCCTGAGTGATAATTGATAATGTTATATAGCTCATATTATCAAGGACCATGTATTATAGAACTACAATGATAATTATGACAAACAGTACTAAAAGACTAACTTTGAGATCTGAATTTAATGCATATGCCAACCACACGCATGACCTACACATGTATATGATAATCTCATATAGCTTATATTATCATGGACCATGTATTATAGAAATACAATGATGGTTATGACAGAAACAGTACTAAAAAGACAAATTTATGAGATCTGAATTTAATGCATATGCCAGCCATGTGTGACATACACAGGCATATGCTAACCTATGCAGACAGCTTGTGCAGCTTCATACTTCGGATATGCAGTAAAATTGTGCAGGTCATATGCAATGTGCTATGTAGCCACATCTACATGTGATCAATCAGATAGACCACAGTTTGGAAGTAGTTTGCCTTAAGTTTAGTGTCTTTGGCTAAAGCAACTTACAAGAAATTCAAACTATGATGTCTATGAAAAAATTAGGCTTAGCAATTGAAACTACAGACAGATGAAAATGTGGCTCAGTGGATTATGCTTCTTAAGTTCTTAATATAAGTTTTATCTGAAAAATATAGAGAGAGAAAAAAATGAAACAATTAACAATGTAAATGAACTAATACAATACAATTTAGAAAACAAAACATGACTAGGTGATAAAAGATGAACTTAACATTCAAAGAATAATACCATTACATATAAGATCCAGAACCAAACAGAATTTACAGATAAGACTAGACAAAAAAGCAAGCAGGAAAAATAAGATTTTATTTAAAGTAACACAACACTTTGTTGCAATGAAATCATGAAATGTTTTGAGGCAATATATTATATATAAACGAGGGGTAGACATGATAACCCATAAAGTTGCAGGAGATTGTAGACACGATAAAAGCATATGAGTGGTAGATATATTATATATAATTTAGTAGTATGGAGGGATCAACCACCATGTACCAATCAAGACCTAACAAGTAACAACACATTATGATAAAAAGAGAGAGCATACGATTTCTTTCCAAAGAAAAAAAATTGAAAAAAAAAGAAATTGATATGCTGCATGTCACAAACAATATAATTGATATGCTGCATGTTGTGAACAATATAAAGAATAATTCATGCTAACTGGTTTCCAGGAGGAACTAGAGAAGTAAAACTCTAGGAGATTGCTGTTTTCAGTATATTCAACAAAAACAGATTATATAATGCATGACAATGAAACATGAAAGTATACAAGAATACAAGGTTGGCATAACAGTATGATGACAATACTGAAAGTTCTAAAATTCTCTAAATTTTCTACAACAAGAATCATATGCTCTTCTAGTTACAAACTACCTTTTGAAAGATCCTGCTTATCTTTTGCAGTATTCAGATAGATTAAAGGCAATTACAAATTTACTTTGTCTGACAACAACACATGGAGGATAAGCGCACAATTACAAGAAATATGCACCTAAATTACTAAAAACTATTTTTTTTCCCAAAGACTCTAACAGAAACATGGGCAAGCCATACAAACATCATTTGTCATATATAGATGTGCTTTGCAAATTAGACCCATTTGATCATGCAAAATTAAGCACAAAATAGAACAACCAAACTAAAAACAAGAAACTAAATAATGACTGCATTCCATCTCTTCATACATACATAATGTTTCTTAGCTACAGATGGACAACCATGAACACCATATAAACATGCTTAACAATATGACTGAAATTAGTAGACAAAGAAAACTGAAAATATGCGAGAATGAGAAATCAATAGTTTGGCGAGTCAAATCCACTGTAATATGCATTAGATTATTAGTAAAGTAGCTTAAATGACAACAGAGAAACGAACCGTAAGCAATTTGTACAAAATTGATTCTACATCTTCTCCAACATAGCCTGCCTGCAAGGATATTGATGACTGTTTTAGTCAATGGAAGTCACAAACAAAAAAATAAGATACGGTACTTGTTTGCTGGGTCGATTATGTATCCAAGCTGTGTAGTTTCTTTACTTCATAATTAAAAAATGTAAGATCTTAATTACTACAGAAATGATTTAAAAAAAAATACTATAGAAAATACTTAAAGCCAACAAAGATATTCACTTAGCATTTAACAATTCTCGTTTGTAGAATGCCATAAGAAGTTTTAGCATACACAATAATCAGACTGCTGACTTCCTCAAGATTTCATGCTAAATATGAGATCCAATTTAAGGAGCCATGTATGCATCTTCATTGTAACATGATCACAAGCATGCTTGCTGAAAATTGAAAAATACAGATTACAAAGAAACAAATCAGCAAAATTAACATGACAAATTCTGATTATCAGAATTCACATGTTGGGAATGTGAACTCACCTGTGTCAATGTTGTCGCGTCTGCTATGACAAACGGCACATTCACAAAACGAGCCAAAGTTTTGGCAAGTAATGTCTTCCCTGTCCATGCACAAAATAAGCAGTCATACAGAGAGGACATGCCAGCCAATATATTAATAAAACTAAATAAGCATGTCAAGATTATCAAAACATCACAACATGAAAAATAATTTTAACCGGATATATACCTGATCCAGTAGGACCCATCAAGAGCACATTGCTTTTCTCTAGCTCTACATTATCATCATTATTGCCTTCTGTGTCGAAATTTCCATGGTCTGCTTCAGAGCTGTATATTAAATAAGGATACTCAGCTCACTATGAACCATTGGAACAAAAATAAATTTCTTGCACTAAGATGTGCACCCTAATGGTCCACATATTCTAAATTATTAAGCATAAGCCAGAAACATAAAACTGGGATCACCACTAAAAAAAATAACAACATAGATTATAACTAACCCTTTCTGTAAGGATGCATGATATATTCTTTTATAGTGGTTGTATACAGCAACAGCAAGCACCTGCACTTTTTTTTTCTCAATTGATCAGTAAAGGACAGTTCTATAACATTCAGCATCAGATATTAAGAAGCTTAAAAGTTTAATGTCCCATCACTCAAGTAACTAATTGCTAAAAACAAATCAATATAAAAGTAATAGAATATGTCAATCATAAATGTCTGTCTACAAATATATATATTTAAATTAAATTCTTTGGACAATAAATTCCTTCTTTTGATTAACAAAACTATATAACAACAACAAAACCGTAAGTCCCAATTATTTGAGATCGACTATATGGATTTTTTACTGCTATTGAAATCTATAAAAAATCATATGCTTAGTTAACTTCAGAGTACTTAAATCTTTCTTTATAGTTTCTATTAAGGTCTTTTTAGGTCTTCTTCTACTTTTCTTGTATCACTAACATTAATCATTTCACTTCTTTTGACCATCGCATCTGGAAATCTCCTAAGCATATGTCGATATCATTTTAAATGATTTTCTCTTATCTTATCGCCAATCGAAACGATACTTAGTTGTTCACGAATAAAAGTATTTATTTTTCTATTTTTTCTAGCAACTTCACACATCCATCTTAACATTCTCATCTTGGCAATACAAATTTTTTATGAACATTGAACTATAATTCCAAAGAATTTTCTCTATAACGATTAGGAGTGCTTTGCACTTCCATCAAAGTTTGTCAGGTTTGCAATTCCAACAGATGGCTTCATAAGTCACAATAAAAGAAAAGTTGAAATATCCATCATTCTTAACATTTCAGTCATAAACTCATTTCATCTAAAAATTTTCTCCTTAAACAATTCAGTTGGATTCATAAATAAATTTAATTGAAACCTTCTAAAGGAATTGTATTAAATCCTATAAACTAGTTAACAAGAATACATTTACCCCTTACATAAACAAATGCCCTCAGAATGTACAGGAAGATATACTCAAATGACTTCTTGTGGTACGAAAAATTTGCTAATTGATTCTTGTTATTAGTGTGACCAAGCACATGTGTGTGTGTATATATACACACGCACACAAAAAATGATAGGGAACAAGTAAGGGGAGGGAGGGGAAGGAGACAGAAGCCTAGTCAAAAAAGATTATCAAATATGATAAATTAAAGAAATCTAGCAATTTTATTTCATTTTTTCATAATAGTTCTAGTCATGGTTTTTTTACCGGTCCATACCGGTGTACCGATGAGCTGTCAGTATGGTACATACCGAGCTGTATTGTACTGTATCGAGCGTACCAACACATGATACATGAGGGCATACCAATGTAACACCGGTACCAGTCCCCTATCGAACCAGCATGCACCGCATATACCAAGCGGTCTGCTGCGATACAGCGAATCTTGGTTCCAGTAACCACATATATAATACACCGTAAGGATGGAATATCGATGATGTTCTATAGAATCCACTATAATTTTTCATGTATCATGATAACATCTATTCCCAAAAAAGGATGCTGGCTTCTGCATCAATTGTAAGCCTATCTAGAACAACAACAAAGAAAAAAGTCAGTAACAACACAAAGTTGACTAGAGTACACCACTTTCTTCACACAATGTACAGGTTTTCTCTTATTTGTTAGTAAAGGATAAATGCTGCCAAGAATTCACTTATTTGTTAGTAAAGGATAAATGACTTTGAACCTTTCCATTGGGAATATGGCACCAACAAATGAGAAGCATGCCACAAATTGTCAGACCATACACACGAAAAAATAGATATGCAGAATAACCGGCAAAAAGAAAGACATTAAGATAACTCTAGTTGGCACCAATGACTGAGAAGTAAGAATCACCAATAAAGGACAGATAGAAGCTATGCACTGTTGATAACCATTGCAAAATAATAAATCTCTGAATCTTTTTCAACCCATCATCCCATCCAAAAGATACAGCAAATGAATCTCATTTGCTGTATGCTTAATCCAAATTGACTTCCTTTTCTTTGTGGCCTTACAACAGAAACTAAAACATCAATACATACTGAAATCATATAAAACCTTATTTAGTTCTCCTTAGCCATGTCCTCAATTACACAAAATCCTTTTCTTTGTCAACTCTATGGATGACTTTCTTTCCACCGAGTTTCAATAAACAGAGGAACATGCAAATTATTATAGTAGAAGATTAGGCAGAAAGCAGAAGGCATAGGCTGAGGATAAATGCTAAAAAAGATATTTGAATTTATCAATAAACTTTCACCTAGCAAGGTACCGAAGCATAAAAAAAGGGTGTCACAAAATAATCTTGTCGTAAATTCATAAATAATGTCAATCATAATATCCTGATGCAGTTGGGTGAAAAGCCCGGTAAGTCACATGATGTGGAGTTTATGATATATAACGAATCAAAGCTTCTTTGCTAGGTAATGCTCTAGTAAACAATGACTTTGAAATTAAGACATTACCAGAATGTTTGCTAGATCATATCATATCATAATGGTTTTATGGAGCAACTGATGCTTAATCTAATTAAATTATACTGTCTAACAAAATCCAAACATATTAGCTTTTGTAATTATTATCAAACTCAAGAAATTGAAAAAAAAGTTTTAAAGAAAGACTGCTCCTGAATCAAGAATTGGTTACAGAAAATAAATACGTCTTGCAAAAAAAAGCTAATCCTATCAATACCAACAGGAATATTTATTTAGTTTCTGTTGCCCAAATTTCCACAGAATATGTGCCAAAAATCATTTCCATCGATCCCTTATAATCTTGATTCCAAAAGACCCTTGATAACTAATGATCTAGCCAAAAACATGATAGAAATCATACCTTTTTTGCACGCTCCTGCCCGATTACATATTTATCGAGCCCCTTGCATATTTCCTTCGGCGTTGGAAAATTCTTTCCCAAATTTGACCCGCCCCACCCGTCCTTTCCACCGAACCCACTGCCACCGGATGATCCGCCTCCTCCCCCGCTTCCACCGGGTCCGGCCACCCTGACCACGTTCAAGTTCGGCGGGAACGGTGGGCCAGGTGGTGTGTGCACTGCCAAGCCATTGCTCTCAGGCGGTCCGGGCATGGGGGGCCATTTCTCCGGCGGCTCCCCACCGTAGGACGACTTTAGCGCCTCCCAGAATAAATTCTTGATCCGGCTCCCGTTATCCTCGTCATCTGCCCTCTCCTTGGCAGATTCGGGGTCGCGTAAACGCCCGATCTCGACGAAGGTGCCCTCGAGAGGGGCGAGCCTGTGGGGCCGGAAGTAGTAGGCGGTCTTGCAGCTAGGGCAGAAGTTGACGGCCTGATATCCGCCGCCGCCGCCTCCTCCGCCGACGACGGAGGGAGGGGAGCGGTTGGAGAAAAGGATGTCCATGTGGTGCGAGCAGCGAGGGCACTGGGCCTCGGCGCGGATGCGGCGGGTGTGGAACTCGTCGGCGCCGCCGTCCCACTTGTGGCGCTCCTGACGGAGAAGGCCGAGGCGGCGACGGGAGGCGGCTAGGGCGGGGGGCGCGGGCGCCTGTAGGAGGAGGCGGCGGCGCTCACCGGCGAAGGCGGAGATCGGGCAGCGGCGGGAGACGCGGCAAGGGGGCTCGGGACGGGGCCTCACCGCCGCCGCGGCGTTTCGGGCGGCGTGCGTCGCCGAGTCGCGGACTTTCTTCCATCGGAGAACCCCCGACATCGCAACGCTTACCGCGACGAGGGGGCCGTAGCGGAGGGGGTCACGAAGGAGAGGCGTGGGGGTCAAAGATAACACCGACAGGCAGCACGGTGGGGCCCACAGAAATCATCCAAAATTGCACGCTTACAATTCCAATAACCAAGCTCTTCCGCAGTTGGGTCCCACAGAAATCACCCTTGATAGACACCTGATATCGGAGAGGATCGAAGAATTCTGTTGCAACATTTTGCAGAGGATCCCGGCATAGGGTGGACGTACGGCCTCGTCAGTCGCTCTCTTCTTCCGTCCTTTTTATTCCAGGATTAATAGTTCATTCTTTTTTTCGATGATAAGATAAAATTGTGTTCCTCACACCATTCCCTCTTCATGCAATTTTCTGCCACTTCTTGATGTGGTTCGAATGATTTTATCAGTAGTTTTCCATCAAATGTGCTAAAAATATCAAACAATACAATCCGAATTAATAATTAGGTCTTCTTCTTCTTTTTCTTCAAAATTTCAATTAAGCATAATAACTACAAAGAAAAAAAAAAGAGGAAAAGCAAAGCAAAAATTTAGCCACCGGATGGGTCGGAGTTTGGGTCGAGCAAACCAAATCTCGTCTTCTGCCTCCAAATTGAACCCATAGATTTGGCCCAAGGGTTCGGCCCACGAGGAAATTCGCGAACCGACGGCGTGTTCGCTAGCCGAAACCTTGACCTAACCCGCAAATCACCACCTCTCACGATAGCCGCCGTTCGATCGCTGGTATTAGCATAACGACAAATGGGCAATCGGAAACAAACGGAAGACCAAATTTAATGTCCCACATCGAATAATTGGTAAATTTCTCGCTCTGCTCTTCCCTATACATTAACCTAAACGTTGATTAAACCACAGATTGTTCGATGGAAGGCCGAAGAGAATTTTATTCTCTTTGTTTTTCCAAATTTTATTTTATTTTTTGTTGTTGGTTGGTGCGCGGCAAAAATAGCTTTTGGATAAACGTATTTTCTTTTATTTTCTTTAACTATGTCAGATTTTTATTTATGTTATAATAGCTAAGGCTACTTCGATATATGGTTGAAGCATTATTAGTTTATTGTTGATCAATCTCAAAGTTTTGTATTATGTTTAATTTTCTATGTTTGATCTATTGTGATGTTATTTTTTTTTTTAAGTAATATAATAGGATTTGATCTTAATGCTCTTGGGCTCTACATGTTGTGCTAATATTTAGAATACTAGCATCAAACATGTTTCTCAAAACCAAGGATCAAAATGAACCGTTAATTTTTTTTAATTTTAAAATATGAAACAAATTGTATTTTTTTAAATTTGAAAAATAGATAAATAATTTTAATGAGTATAATGACAAAACAAAATTGATATAACAAAAAATAATAATAATCATCCCTTTGTCAAAATTCATACCAAATTACTCGACTTTAAACTTAAAGATTTAATCACCATACAATAGTCTATATATAATTTTTAAAAAAAATTATTTACCTTATTTATTTGGTTTAAAACTGAAATCACTAATTTAAAATCAAAATTGAATCGTCTAAGATCGATTCTAGTTTGATCTTGATTCAAATTGAACCATGGTCAAGACTAGTAGCACTATTGAAACTAAAAATTTCATTTATAACAATGTTAAAACCAAATTTTATGATATTTTGCTGAATTAATTTTTAACACAATCCTTAGACTTGAAAACATAAGCTACACAATAGATTAGAACAAAGAGCTACCAGTGTAGTGTTGTTACCTCGCTTTGATTCAATATCGATTGCAGAAATAGGCGCCAATGACATAATTAAACTAACCAATCAATTCCCAATATACGAAAGGACTCTCCTATCCAATAATTCAGTGAAAAATTAAAGAGATGCAATAAGGTTTCCTACAATCTCCAATTTCCCAAGTATCTAACTGTACAAGAACAAGTTGTTCATACTTATGCACGAGGCAAATGGATTACATAGAACAAAGGTGCATGCTGAAGAGCATGCCCAAGACATATCTTTGAAAATGCCAAAATATTCTTTTCCTCTTCAACAAAAGTAGGAAAGTCTGCATAGTTATATTCATCTTCGGATAGATGGACTATGCATTGCAAACAATTATCTGACATCAATACGCGATTCAGTCTGGAGTGACAACAACTGTCTACCAGTACTCAATAATTACTTATTTGCTGATATGTGAAAACCACTTGGGCAAGTACAATGTGCAGGGCGAAATTCTAGTTACTAATTCATTGTAAAGATAGCCAGCCACAAATTGTTAAGACGCAATCAGTCCGCTCATATTATCACACAACCATGCTCATCAAGCAACATAAGTGGGACTGGAAAAGCATGTTACCCTCAAATTCTCACGATAGCCATAAAGAGCACGTAAATATGTTACCCTAAAAATTTTCTATTATGTTTAATTCTCTATATTTGATCTATTGTGTTATCATTAATTTTTTTTAAGTAATATAATAGGATTTGATCATAATACTCTCGGACTCTATATGTTGTTCTAACACTGAATATATTAGTGTCAAACATCAATGTTGATGGTTTATTCCAAATCGCCTGATTCTGGTTCCGGCGATTCTGATTTTGGTTTGGACCATCAATTTTTATTTTTTTATTTAAAAAATAATTTTAAAAAATAGATGTATAATCATAATAAGTATAATAACATACAAAACCGATCAAAAATAATAAAATTTTTAATCAAACTAAATATCTTTATCAAAATTCAAACCTAAGTTCCTTGACTTTAAACTTAAGGATTTAACCACCATATCATAAACTCTTTATGTAATCTATTTTTATTTAATCCTATTTAATCGGTTTGATACTGGATTCATTGGTTTGGAATCGGAACCAACTGTCTCAGGTCGATTCCAGCTCAGTTCGGTTTGGCTTCGAACTGAACCATGGTCAAGACTAGTAGCACTATTGAAATTAAGAATTTTATTTATAGCCATGCTAAAGCCAAATTTTATGAAAACAGAGCTACACAATAGATTCGAATAAGGAAATATGTATACTGCCAATTCGAATAAGTTTGCAAAAGGCCTCTTCTAATTTTGGTGACTGCCAATAGCTCCTAGCAATTATGTTCTTTCCTTGTATCCAAGGAGAAAGAGGAAGACACCCCATTGCTATGATGGATGGCCAATTTAATTAAGTTATGCCCTCACTTAGGGCTAGACAGACAATGCAGATGATGACACTGCGGTTCACGAGGAGAGCGAGGCACCACCCCCGTTGCACCAAAGGAGAGGGGGAGAGGGAGGCCCAGAGGTCCTCCTCCGCATTTTCCATGTTGCTATCGACAGGGGAAGTGTAATATAAAGGCAAAAACACTTACCTACCAACCAGCGTCTTCTTAGATTTAAACACGTGACCACAGGCATGCTAAACCAAAAAAACCTTGTCATTGAGAAAGGCTTAGCTACTTTAAACAATAGTACATTTAAAAGATCGAACAAAGGAGATTTACAAGAATTCTCGGATGGTGCCAAGTCAACACACTAGTGCCTTCAAACTTAGCTAATGCAGGGGAGCTGCTTCATGCAAGCAAGTCGAACGTACGAGTACAAGCATTGCAAGCTATGGCCTAGTATTAGAAGCTGCCAAGTCCAAGGAAAGGATGGATATGCCAAGTCCAAGGAGCAACCACTTTCCTTGAATGATTCAAGAAACTGTATACATAGGGCTATAGATTTATTTTGCTAGGGATAGCATTATTGACAACAGAGAGGTTATTGCTGACTGGGAGAAGAAAATTTGTTTTTCGTTGTCATGGCTACATGATCAAGTCAATGGTAGCCGATGAGCATAATTGTGATCCTTTGTGCACAACGTGTGATCAGCATTGCTGCCGAGCGGAGGAACACGATATCTGTTTTTCTCTCTTCAATTCTTTACATTCAGAAGAAAATATCCTTTACATTCGTGTGGCGACCACAATTTATCCTCGTCTCTTTTAGGGGCTTGCCTTCATCATCTTGTAGGCTAAAAGATATGGAATCCGTCATCCTAAGCTTGGCCAACAACTACAAGGAGTTCAATTCAAGTCAAGATGAAGGATGATTGATCAACATTTTTGTCCATCCCTACAATGTTCCAATCTCTAGGTTAAAAGGACAAAAAATGATTGCTCAATATTTTAGCCCATTTTTGTGTTCAATCATACCATTGATGGAGTCCCTCACTCCCCTCTATGAGAGACTTTCTCTCTCAAATCAAGGAAAGAGACATGCAAGCATGTAGTAAGAACTCAATCATCAGTTGCAATCCGAGAATGAAGATCCGACGCATGACTTAACTTTACGATTGGGTCCATCGACCGGCGTCACATCAACATATGCAGATAGTCCCGATGGCATCCAGTTGGGAAGATGACACCTCCTCAGTTGGATCAATTTATGCTTATGCTTAGACTCCTGTATTGCGTGGTGTAATAATGTTTACGTTAGTGTCATGTCCTATGCTTATGCTTAGACTCTTGTATTATCTTGCACCAACGTGGTGGGAGCTTGGTAGATGTCAAAACATTGATTCGAATCCCTAGCTTGTATATTTGTTGTTGTTGCTGTAATACTCCGCTGGAATCAATGATATGTGCAACCAAATATTTGAATCCCCAGCATGGCGTCTTTGACGATTCATGCCTTGCTGCTTAGAGAGTAGAAGATTCAACTCTCTTTCTCTTTAGCGCAACGAAGCAACCGCCGATGACTCTCTATGGCGGCTTCCATGAACTTGGATTCATCTCTGACCCTTTTGCGATGGGGAGTATTTGGAGTTGCTGCCATAGATGACCTATTGCGAGCTCTTCTTGACGTGACCGAGAACTCGTCTCTCGAAACCATGGGATGTGAAATAACACATCTTATACTCATACATTGTCCACTCAAGAGTTCTTCAGTTGATTGTCGTTGAAATATAGGTAGCTTTTTTGCCCCACCACGATCTTGTTGTCTTGCAAGAACTGTCGTTGACCTTTTGATCCACACACAAGTCACCACTGTTCTTGGGCTTGCGCTTCGCAAAGAAATAACCCTCTTGCCGATCGTTGTCGAGAATATTCCATGGCTTGATGTCATAGACATTTTCGAAGGTGACAACATGGTCAAGGAGGGGTTTGTCAGTGACCCAGTTGCCGAGGTAGTCAACCACCAGCTCCTTCGTAGACGGAACCTGTAGCCTCTTGAAACGAGGGCGACGAGCTTTGGTTTCCTCAAAAGGAGAGGAGAGCGGAGATGACGAGGGAAAAGGGAGAAGAGATGATTTCTTGAAGAGGAGAGAAGATAAGGAAGGAGAAGGGAGAAGAGGAAAGACTATGAGGTTTTAGCAGCATGGGTCCTTCCTTTAGAGTACATATGGTCAAACCATAATATTGAAACCCCACCCAAGTCTTTCCCCTTCCCCTTGCTCCTTCCTCATCTCCACTCCTCTTATCTTCAAGAAACCATTTCTTCTCCTTTTTCTTTCTAGATTTGTAAGTGTGGTTAATCTTTTGTTAAGTTGACTTTGGGTTATGTGAATTATCGAGTGATGTAGTATATGATTATAAATTGCACAAGCTTTATAGATGTGAATAATGTTTGAATGTTTTTTCAGTGTCCTCAAATATTAGTTTGGATCTTGAAATTTGAAATGTGGATGAATCATAATATTCTTGATTTAAGATAGGTTCATGCCTCTTGAATATGTTAATTTGGCGGGTGTGACAAAGATGGGTTCGTCTCCTCTCTCCTCTCCTAAAACTAACTTGAGTCATCCATGGAGCATGTCGACCTTGTTCCAAGAGGCTATATGTTCCTTTCGTCTGCGGAGGAGCTAGTGGTTGACTACCTCAGCAACTAGGTTGTTGATGGACACCTCTGTTCGCGCTATTGACTTCGCCAACATCTACAACATTGAGCTTTGGAATCTTCTCGACAACGATCAGTAGGAGGGCTATTTCTTTGTGAAGCGGAAGCTCAAGAACAATGACAACTAACATGTGGATCGAAAGGCCAATAACAATTCTTGCAAGAACTCGTCAAGTCCATTGTCGACGAGCACAAGATCATGGTGGGGCAAAAGAGGTGCTTATCCTTCAACAACGGCTAGCGAAAGAACTCCGAGTGGACAATGTACGATGTGTTCTTCCGTATCCCACAGCTTCAAGAGACAAGTTCTCTGTCACGTCAAGAAGAGCTCGCAATAGGCCATCTTCAGTGGCAGCTTCAAACAGTCCCGACACAAATGAGTCGGAGATGAATCCACGTTCACGAAGGCCACCATAGAGACAATAACCTGTGGTAGCTTTGTTGAGCTAAAGAGAGAGAGAGAGAGACAAATCTTCTATTCTCTCAATAGTAAAGCATGATCGTCAAAGAAGCCATGCTGTGGATTCAAATACTTGGTTGTACTTGTCATAGAATCCAGCGGAGGATAGAAGCAACAGCAGCAAATATGGTAAGTTGGGGATTCGAATTAGTGGTCCAATATCTACCAAGCTCCCAACGCGGTGGTGCAAGATCCCATGTTGGCTCCTATTGTGACACCCCCAAAGACTTGTCTTTCCTTCGATGACTCTATTACATTAAATGAAGCCACCTTGCCTCACCATCTTCAATATACGTTGGTGGAGGTGAGCTTGTGATTATTGTGGAAGAGCTCGAAGCATTATGGGCTTTGTCGTTGTTGTCAGTCAAGCTTGGCAGTGATCAGATGTACTGCACTGATGATGTCTTTTTCACGACCCTGGAAAAGGTCGATGCCTTCTTGATGTTCGATAACACCTTCACTGCATCGACTACGATCCTAGAGGCCTCGCCAACACATGATGTCTAATGACATCCCATGGATTCGACTATGAGCTCATGGTTGGAGTAGTAGCTTACATGTGGGCTCATAAAAATCTTATATAGAAAAGGATGTTTGTTCATGTATATCATAATAATTGAAGGGATAGAAAATTTATTTTCATGTAAATATTAACAATAATGAAGTTCAATTTTCATCCCATGTATTGTTTCCTTAATATGATGTTGGTCTATATGAAATGGTATAACCAATGAACCAGTAATTTAAGAGATCGTTGTTTTCTCCCAATGCATTAACATATGATAGTGGGCAAGCCTAATTGCCCATTATTCTTAGGGAGTGATGGATAAAATATTTGGACCAATGGCCATCTGACACGTGGCTATCAATGGGGCAACCCAGTTTGTCTCTAGGATAAGGCTTGCTTCCTCTTTGTCTACCCACGTGGACGTGAGTCCACAACAAACAATTATGGGTTGCCTCCTTCCTTGTCACCTACAACGACAAAAAGATAAATAGAGGTTGTTAGACGCGATTAAGTCTCGTCTTCTTGTGAAATATTCCATAGAATATTCTACCCCTTTGGTACTAGATACAAAAGCTCGCTTATAGCATAATTACCAGGGAGGGGGGAGGGATCACTTTTTACCATACATTACCACACTCACCTATCCCGACCCTCCTCGCTACCAGCCCACAACGTGCAAGTTAGGAAATATGGCCCCCCTCGCTGCTTGCTCGAGGTGCGCAAGACAAGATACCCGACCCCCTTAGTTGCTCGAGGCTTGAAGTCAAGCACCCCGACCCCCATCGTTGCCTGAGGCATGAAGGTCGGGCGCCCCGACACCCCTCGTTTCCAGAGGCGAGGAGGTCAAGTTCCCAAACCCCTTCATTGCTTGAGGCATGGACATCGGGCACCCTGACACCCCTCGGAAAGGTGATGAAGGGGCGTAAAATCAACGTGTTAGATGGGGCAAATGTTGCGCTTTAAGACCCTCTCCAAGGAGCTTCCGAAGCATGCCTTCAGAGGGGACAAATGGTAGGGCAAGTATTTGGACCAATGACCATTCGATACATGGCTATCGATGTGATAGCCCAATCAACCTCAAGGATAGGACTTGCCTCCCCTTTGTCTACCCATGTGGACATAAGTCCAAAACAGACAGTTGTGGGCTACCTCTTCCATTGTCACCTACATAGACAAAAGGATAAATAAAAATTATTAGAGGCAATTAAGGGTTGTCTCCCGATGAGATATTCCATAGAATATTCCGTCTCTTTCCTACTAGGTATAAAAGCTCGCTTTTAACACAATTACTAAGGAGGGGATCAATTTTTTATCACTCATTACCACACTCACCTACCTCAGATTACTAACTTGGACATCGACGGGATTAGGTGGAGAAACTCCTCTTGACATCGATCTTCAAGTAAGTGGCATTTCGGGAACTTGACGTTTTCACCTCGGAGACACCACGACCATCCTTACGTGCATGAGCTAGAATCACGTCGAGCTAACCAGGACATCAACAACATTTTTCCATAACAATTGTCAATCCGACAGTGGTGTAAATACGATGTAAATCTCATGATTAGTGAATTAGCATTATCAATGCAATTGCATTTCATTCTTACTCTTTTCTTGATCATTCATGGGTTAAGTCAAATGAGTGAGCAATCAATTACACTATTAAAAAACTATAGGACTTCATCAATATCCTTTCGGATGTATAAAAAAACTAGATCTGTACCAAATGTGTATAAAAAACTAGATCTGTACCAAATGTTGCGATATGTTTTTATATTTCCGGATCAAATATTGATCATCTAAACCAACAATGTCTAACTTTGAGAGAACTTGATGATATCATATACCCACCGATGACTATTTCTCTCTGTTATGGGAAAATATCATTTAAGTCCTAGTCAAACCGACATGATTCTGGCCCGTGTGCATAAGAATGACCGAGGTGCTTCTGAGGTAGAAACGCCAAGCTCCCGAGGTGCCACCTGCACAATACTAAGATTGAGAGGAGTTTCCCCACTTGATCCCTACGCCTAAGTTAGTAACCCGAGGTAAGTGAGTGTGATAATGATTGACGAAAAGTAATCCCCCTTCTTGGTAACTATACTAAAAGCGAGCTTTTATACTTAGTACCAAAGAGATAGAATATTCTATAAAATATTTCATGAGATTTCTAACAACCTCCATTTGTCATTTTGTCCACGCAGGCAACAAGAGAGGAGACAGTCCACAACTACCTACTTTGGACTCACATCCATATGGATAGACAAAAGGGAGCCAAGTCCCACCCTCGAGGTTGATTGGGCTACCACATCAATAGTCACGTGTCGGATGGTCATTGATCTAAATACCTTCACTATGAACAATAATTACACAAGGCCAATCAATTGTTATTTCAACAGCATGGAGATCATTAGCGAAGAATCACTAGAAAAAACTACTATCCATGTCGAGTGAAAGAGTCGTCGCTCGATGGATAAAAGTTATTCTAGGGATAATAGATTGATCTTCAAGAGTTCACATCGACACGAGGGTTTGACATACTGTGTCCTCTCGTGACCGGCGACAGCGGGAAAGTACAAGTCGCAGGCCCTCGTGACTCCGCCATCGCAGAGAGCTCGGAGTTCTTGATCAAGAAGAAGGGCGAGGAGAATGACCAGAAGAGATCGAGTCGGTCTCAGAAAGACAAGCATCTTGAAATCACAAAATCCCAAGGGAAAAGGGGGCAATGACATAGAAGGACATGAAAAGAAGTGAGGCCAGAGCGATCAGTTCCTCCATCAAGGCGTGGTTGCTCGGCACCAGCCTTACCATGAACCGTCCAACCAGTAGCCAGGGGCGCATCAGTCTCTTGTGCCTTCTGTCAGATGTCACATAATCGGTCTCGGCAACCAAAATCTTGGTCCTACGAAGTTAAATCAACCAAGCTCCACGAACAAAAGCTTTGGACCTAACCGAAACCCTAATTTTCTCCCACAATGAAACCCTAATGCGGAAATAGAATGCAGGGAGGAGGAACGAAGAAGCCGATGGACGAACAAGATAGAGATAATAAACTCGACCGAAAATAACACTTACCAGAACCTACGATCCCCCTTTCAGGGGGAATCTGCCGGGCCTCTACTCCATCCGCGTCCTCCTGCTTCCTCTCGTGACCGGCGACGGCGGCACAGTACTGTTGGCGATATGGCCAATTCTGCGTCAAAGGTGTTTTAGCCCTTTTCCGCGACAGTTTAAGGCCACCCTGTGAGTCACTCGCCCGCTGGTCATTTCCATCCTCTATTTCGCGCATTTGGGTTGAGCAACCCAAGCCTCCAAATTAAACCCATAGGCCGGTCCATTAGAACCGAACCGGGGAACTATAAAGAAGGCCCGAGGGCTCGGGCCCATGGGCCGTCCCCAAGCCTCCTCGCACCGGAGGGCGTCTCCCCCCTCCCGTTCTGGCCGAAACCCTAGCCCCAACCAGCAAGTCGTCGTCTCCGCCGGTAGCCGCCGCCGTTAGATCGTTGGTATCAACATAATGACAACTGGTGATTCTGCACACACTGGTGGAGGCAGAAACACCACCAACTGCGATCGTGAAAATGGATTTGTTAGCACATCTCCAAAGGGCGACTTGTAGCATTGCAAACATCTGCATGATTAGATGAGGTTTGTCACCTATGATTAGTTCTTCGTATTTCTAGGCAAGTAATCCTATCAAGTAGTCTCTGTTTGTCTTTGTAGCATGTTTAGATCATGTGCAGTTTTCTTTTCTTGTGATTGCTGACTCCTTTGGTGTTATTGATTGTCCAGGATATTCTCTTTAGTCATATCATATAGCTCTTAATTTTCATTTCAATCATTAAACATTCGATCTTATCAATGTTTGGGAACTCTGTGTGAATTGAGTCATCTACCTGTTAGACACAGGGTCACAACATGAGTATTAAGTGATGCAGGGGGATGTGGTTGTAAGGCAAAGTTTCCTTTGTGAGTTAGATAATTAACTCTCATCATGAGGAGCATTTCATAGCTTGGGTTTACAAGAACAAGCTAAAGATTTCATTACTGGAGCAAGAAGAAAATAATGTTGTTTATTTTTTTGCTATAATTAGCTTGCTATTGCTTGACAAGAAGAATTGTCTCACTATGCAAATCTTTCAGAAAAAGAAGAAACAAAAAGGGTATTAAACTTGCCTAGTCTGACAGAGTGATTTGTAGCTTTGATTTGGTATAGTAGATTAGTAGGGAATAGTAAGCTGGGTCATTCCATGGCTGAAGCTAGGCAGCCTTCTATGTTGAACTTTGATGTTAAAAGCAATGAGTAAGATAGGGAATAGAAACACTTGTTGAGTTCCTACAATTATGCATGCCTTGGACTAAAAAAACATGGCTTGATATTAGAACCAAATCTGAATTTTGGCAGCCCAACTCCCTGCATATCCATATTTGATCAGACTTTGCAACAATCCATCAAAGTTGATTTGGACAAACTCCTAATCTTCTTGTTACTACTGTCCTAACTTTTCATGCTGTTCATCCATGTTCACTGAACACCAATGGGGCACTGCTATCCTTCCATCTCCTTTTAACATATCTTGCTTCTCATCTGTTGATCTGTTCTTTTACTTGACTGTCACAAGGAAACTCTGTCTCGACATCAATGGCAACAACATCATCCAAGTCTTTTTCACAATGATTACATGATCGAACAGAGAGCCAAGCTGAAATCATCAAGATTCGTAGAAGGTTTTCCACACTTTAACATTCAGATGTGAGTTTAATTTCAGCAGTTTCTAATTCTATCTGGCTTCTCTTAGGCATTCAAGATTTGTAGAAGGTTTAATGTGTACCGATCTTAACCTCAAAGGTTTCTTGTCACTAAAAGTTAGAATTCAGTGAAGGGTTTTAGCTAACACTCACACAAAGTAAATTTTGTAGCTGGATCTGGATGGAACAGCAACGATGAGAATGGTGGTTAATTCTGATTTCTATGTTGATGAAGGTTTGATAGCTTATAGTGCAGTTGCATTATGGATATATGACAAATCAAATTGTGAAAAGTGGCATTTGAATACAGAAACTGCTGCTCAATAATGCAACAAATGTTAAACAAAAAATATATATATATTAAGTTGCATGATGGGAAGTGATAACAGATGATTCTTGACGATGAACAGGCCCACATGTGATTCTTAATTCAACATACTTCAAATGGATTGTAATAAAATGACCAGTACAGTCACAATCATAAAAGATTTGAGAACCAGGAAGGAGGATGATTCATAAGCTGCATAAAATAGATCTCATGTGCAGTTAAGAGCAAAAGAGAAAGAAGCATAGAAGTCGCTTGGTGGTTTCTATATGGTTTGAATCAGATGCTTGGCAAAGTGGCATCAGAAGTGGAGTATCATGCCCTTAAGAAACTAGCTGCGTTTCATGCAGGCAGGCCTGTGGATAGACTTGGGGATCAAACAATGCCTCTCATCCTTTGGCACCATGTATTATTTATTAAGATGGTGATGGAGAAGGTATCAGATCAAGTGTTCTCATAGAAGATGTCAAAAGGGTGCAGAATGACAATGATGCTTCATTCCAGCCCACAGCAGCCAAAGATGGATGAGAAGTTGTACCAAATAGAAAGTATAATCTTTAGGTCACATCAGTCACATATATTTTCTCTGAATCCCCATGAGAATGTTCCTGCAGCACTAGATATGACTTCTGAATGCATGCCATCCATCAAAAGAGCATGGGAGAGGCTTTGCGAGCTCCTTTACAGGGGTGCAGAGCCCACTACCTAAAGCATTCAGCTGAAAGCATAGAAACTGATACACCCTCGATCTTCCATAACATTCATGGCAGGTTAAAGCTGTTAAAAGGTGCTTTAGGGAGGATATGACACTGACTCAAATCCTCTTAGTTTAAGTGGGGATGGGTAGATAAGCAGCATTTATGGTGATCCATGGCATATGCATAGTAATAGATAGGCCAATTATTTGCTACAGAAGTAGAAGAAGGAACTTCTGATTTCTTTCTGCTGTTCCAGATTTAAGCCATTCAAGTTTATTGGATTCATATAGCATGATCATTGCCCTCCAGTTAAATTCATTAGATAATGATGTGGAGATTCATAAAATCAATGGCTAAGCATGTGAGAGAGAAAGAGAGTTTAAGTACAGGATTAAAGAACAAAACAGAGGAAGAAAAAGTGAGGGATTTGGAAAAACCTAAGCAAGGAGAGAAGAACATGGATCACCACCTGCACTGCATCTTTGTAATTGTAGTGGTTGTTTGTTGATGTGATCTGAAGCAGACAAGCCATCAAGAAAATTTGGGTCTGAATGGGCTGACACCAAAAGAGAGTGTGTTTGTCAACATAAGATTAAAGAAAGCAAACATTATCATCTATGCTGACTAGCTGATGGAACACTCAACCAACACAAGCAGATGGGATGTGCCCACCAGTGACTGTGCTATTTGTGTTTTACAACGTATATGGCACATTGTATGTTCATGAAATCCACTTACTCTGTTCTTTTATTTGACATATGGTGGTACTTCTAAAGCTTCCATGGAGGGTGCAAAGCCTCACATGCATCCACAGATGCTCTTGTCCTGTGATCCTACACAAGCAGATGGAGATGTTAGTGTAAAATATGGGGGAAGACCAGCATAAATCTAGCTTTTGCCAATATGCAGGCCTGTGAAATCAGTAAGTCAAAATAGTTCCTAGAGTACACAAGCAGCTAAAGATGATGGTGCAAAATATGGGAAAGGCCAGCATAAATCCAGCCTTTGCCAATGTGCAGGCATGTGAGATCAATAAAGTCAAAGTGTAGTCCAAAGAGTCTGATTGGCAGTGGAAGAAACTTTGTGCCTGAGAAAGCCCCTTCTCCTTACTTTCCACCATCCAGGTCAATGTCTGAATTGAATCAATTAGGAAATGAAACACACAGATTTGAGCAAGAAGAAGAAATACCCAAGGAAGCTTACAAAAAATAGAACTTGCTGAAAAAGTTACCATTTGTTTTCTGATCCATAGCTTGACCTTACCAGAACATTCACTGTTGTAATATTTCATTTAACCAGTGAATCGTCCTTCTTTCTAGGTCTCAATCTATGACAATCTATTTGTAGTCTATTGTTCCACTGGCAAGAATCATCTGTTATCACTTTCCATCCTGCAACTTGATGTACTATTCTGTTTGTGTAGTACTGATTGCAACATTGAATATTAGGCAGTCAGTTTTCCCTGTTCGACTGCCACTTTTCACATCTTGATTTGTCCTGCTATCAGTTGCTATTTCACTAAGCTAAACCCACCTTCACTGAGCTCAAACTTTTAGTGGCAAGAAATGGTTTGAGGTTAAGGCCAATACACACCTGTCGTAAAAGTTCACAGCAAGCATCAGGAGATGGACATTGAAGTATCTTCTCACTAGGTAGGACATGTCAACCTGATGCTCTCCATTCATGCTAATGACACCCATTATTTCCACACCAAAATGCCTCATCTGCCTATTTCTGTGCCAGTAAACAAGGTCAAGTTGCCCTTCATCCCCCACATATCTGCATGCATGCTTTCTGATGTTGATGAGAGAATAATCCATGGACAGAGACAAAGGAATTCCCTGTAGTCCAACCACCAATAGGGGAAGCTTTTTGTGCATGGGGGAATCCTGTTCCTGGAGATGGGATTCCCCCACCATGGCCGCAAAGGGTTGACCTTGGATTGTAAATCCACAGCAGCAAAGTGTGATCTTTTCTGCTCACCATCTTTTTCTGACTCTGTAGGAATCGAAGAATTCCTGACCCAGAGATGACATGAATGCAGGGCTTGCATCTATATAGCCCTCACGCAGTCCCTCCCCTGACCCACTTCTTCTCCTTTGCCCCTACAGATCCGTAGAGCTCCTAGGCTGCCCTCTCTCCACTGTTCATGCATGTATAAATCCCATGCAACCTCACGCCATCTCCTGGACTCCAAAAGGACATGCTCGTGACGGCGAAGAGCAAGCTTTGGGCAGCTCTGGGCTCGTCCAAAGCCCGCCATGGCGGCAGGAAGAAGAAGCTCCTCGTCCGGATACAGGTCGCCGTGGCGAAGTGCACCGGCCACGGCGACGTGCCCATCGAGGACAGGTACGTGGACGAGATCCTCTTCCTCGTCTCCAACGCTCCTGTTTCCGCTGCCTTCCTCTCGAGGAGGATTTCGGCGCGGCTGGCGGCCACACGAGACCCGGTGGTGGCCCTGAAGACCCTCCTGCTTCTCCACCGCCTCCTCCGGGGAGGCGACCGCCGATTCGAGCGGGACATAGGCACCCTGTGGTCGTCGGGAGAGCTCGAGATGGATCTGTCATGGTGCTCTCACTCTTTTCTCGTTAGCTACTCCTCGTTTCTGGGAGACAGGATGGGTTGGATCATAAACCACGCCGGTATGCTGGAGCCAATTGGGGCACCGCAATCGCACGAGGAAGATGAAGCTGAATCGATCCTGCACATGATATCGAGATGCCAAGTGTTTCTCGATCGGGCTATGGATTGCCTGCCGCATGAGGAGACGCCATGGCCAAGCCAGGTGATGCAGTCAGCACTCGACATCATCCTGAGAGAAAGCTTTCGTGTTTATCGCAGCTTCTGTGATGGGCTAGCAATACTTGGGAAATCTTCAGGAGTTCTCGGCATCCTAAAAGAGGCATGCATCCAAACCCCCAGACTTCACGAGTTCTACGAGAATTGCAAGAGAAGAAACCTTGGGAAGATCTTAGACTTCCCGTCCGTTCGAATCATCACCATAGACCAAGTATCATCCATGCGGCAGCACCAGAATGAGGTCCAGGAAAACAATGTGGAAGAAAGCGAAGCATCAAGAAGTAGGTTTTTGTGGAAGCTGGAGACGAAGATAAGCCAAGTATGGGTTGCATTCGACGAGGAAGATTCGACGACTTGTGTCAGCTCTGCCGGTGAGAGTCGTGGTTAGGCGGTGCCAAACATTGACATGATGAATGGGTTTGGATGGTCATTCTTCGGAGTTGCGGAGACTGTATTCATAGGGCTTGCTTGTTCTTTCTTATGGTATCTTGTCTTCCTGATGTGGAGGAGGGGATTTTTCTACCATAATACTACCAATAATCTTTCAATGCACTATTTAGATATGTTTTAAGTTTAGTTTCATCTCTCAAAAGCTGTATTTACTGTGCATTTGATGATAGTTGGGATTTGAAATATTTTAAAGCATACCACCTGAAATGATATGGAAACGGGTGTTACATATTAGTCCGAAAACGGGTGTTACATATTGGTCCAGACATGGGCTGATACACAGATCAAGGAAAAAACACATTAGAGCTCAAGCCATTGTTGCTCGATGCTTTCTCACCGTTGCCATTGTTACTTTGATTTTGTTGCCATTGTTACTTTGATTTTGTCATTGTTTCGTCGATGCTACTTTGCTATCGGTGCCGCTTCCTTTTAAATACACTATCGTTGCTTTTTTTCTTCTTCCTTCTCCGCTACTCTATCATTCCCTTCCTTTTCTTCCTCTTTTTCTTTCTCGTTGAACTATTGATACATACCAGTATATCATGTATCGGCACATCGATATACATCAGCAAAACATTTCAAATTGCCCTGTATTTGCAGAAATTACACCAAATTGCCATCGGCTCTCTTTCTGATCGTCTCTTGTATTTGCATTGTTAACCTTTTGCCATAAAGGATACTAGGAGAAGCAAAGAGTGTTTCAGGGTCATTATTACCCTTTTCCTTTAGTGTAGCTGCTTATAAAAGAAAGGAAGCTTGGATGGTAAGCAGGTTATGCCAGTGACGACACAGATCATGTACTTAAAAGAGAACATCAAGTCACTCGCAATATCATATGCTTTCCTCAGGCATTCTTACCTCTATTCCAATGGTCGTCTTCTGTATACACTTCCACTGCAGTAAGCTACCTTAATTGCCACTGAAAGATGATCGAAGATGTTAGCAGCAACATAAGCTCTTCAAAAAATGGTGGAATGCAGAGGTGTGTTGATAAGACTTCAGTGGTGAGAATAGTATATCCATCCAAACAAATAACTTCCTGTTGATGGCTTGACAGATTAGATGATACAAACAAAAATAGAATAAAAGGAGTTACTACATAACACACTTCATGAACTGTGAAGGTTTCTCCCACCATTTGGCAGTGCCAGTGCCATTGTCTTCCAGTGCTGCTTATGAGGTGACAGATCTAATAGTGTTGGGAATCTTGGGTCCTTTTTCATTTGGACAATGTGATTTTGTCTTACAGTACTAGAAAAGATTTGGTGCAAACTTGATGCTCGAAGTCAACGAAGCGTCCTCTAGTTTTCTCTGTTACCTTTCTTGCTGCCAACAAAGCTGTTTCCAATCTCTACTGAAAACATGGATTCCCATCAACTTTGTAGCAGGAACGAGATATTCTAAACATACTCATCTCGTAGATGGAGAAGGGTAGTATAACTCCCTGCACGCATCGATCTGTTCTGACCACAAGGAGAGTGGACAAAGTCAATACATCATTACAGAGCAGAACAGACATGCCTTGGTCGGTCTGTGAGGATCGACGAGTCCTCAAACAATACATTGCAATGCCACCTGTGGTCACAACCATACACTGATCTCTCTCGCGATGCAGTAATGCTAATATACATCTTTCACTTTACCACAGCCTGTTGGACATGATGTCGGACGGGGGTGCAGGAGGATATACAAATTACACAAGTCGAATGATGTACAGTTAAGAAAGTTCGAATCCAGTGTTTGAACTGATTGCATAGAGAAGCTTGTTCCTCAATGTACTCGATCGTTTGTATGTCGGGAGCTGCCAAATTAAGAGTAGTTGTTTAACTAGGAAAACAGCGATAGCAACTTGAAGAATAATGTACCGAAGATGCATCTTGTCATTTACCTTGAGTGTATTGTAGCAGGTGGAAGCTGAGGGAAGCCGATCCACATCTTGTCCACCTAGTGTAGCCCATAGGGGTAAATCACATGCGACCTGAACATACAAATTGGAAACCAGCTGAGACTAAGTAACAAATATATTTCAGGTGGAACATTAGAATCAAATTCATTGTGTAACAAACAGTAATAAAACAGCAAATTGCTTGTAGATTTTGACCGAGATCTGGAGCTATTTGTGTCATCAACACTCTTTTTTACCCATACTTTTATCTATGTAGCAACAGATAAATAGTTGGAAAGGCCTCACATGAAACTGACTCGTAAGCTCTCCCTAGTGTCTTGAGCATGCTTAAATTTCTGTTTTCCAGACGCTAGTTTTCCAAGGCATATAATGTAAAGAGAACACATCAACAATTCATAACAAAAAGTAGCATAATAGAAGTGAAGGAGACACATTTATCAACTGGAACATGAGGCAGGCTTTTAAATTTTCAGTAATACTGATCAGACAGAAACTGCGATAGTTATAAAGCACAGAAACAATTGAAATCCAAGACATTACAGGTTTCACAAAACAACCACCTAGAAACAGTTTTCCTATTATCATATCCTATTAGGCTTGGTGAACTACACATTTAGCACCCAGCAAAGCCAAACAGGAAAGAAATCAAGACTGATTTCAGAATAGAGTAACAACTTTGTCCAGCATATCAGCAGAAAACAAGGTCTAAATGTCAGTTTCTTTATCTTGAAAATCGTATGTGAATGATGTTTTCTATAAACAAAATTTCAGAAATATTGGATCCTAATTAAACTGGAAACCTGGCTCAGTTCTGTATGTGGACCACAAAAGTTGTGGATAAGAGAGAGAGAGAGAGCTGGTGTTGTCAGAACCTAACCGGATTGCAGGACCAACCAGGTCAAAGAACAGGTCAAATTTTGCTAAAATTATGTAATGACCATTATTTTAAAAAAAATCAATGATATAATAATTTGATAAGAAGGCTTCTTTGTCATTAAACGTAGCATTCACATCAAGACAGCAAATGGGCTCATATTGATTGCTTTTTCTCTGTTATCATGAGCAGAACATGGCACAGCAACAGTCCACAGTCCACCACTTAACCCATCTGCTTGTTATGGCCCTCACTTGTTACCTGCAAAAAAAAAATTCCTTTCTCCAAAATCTCCATCTTCTACAGCCTACATTGTCAGGCCATACATAGAAATGGAGGAGATATTCAAGCTATCAAGGTCACTTTGATATGACCATTCCATAACATTCCAGGATCTAACTGGCAACTATAAGTATGCATTTTCCAAAACCAAACTAACCTTCAATTTTGTTGGGCTAATTAAATATACGCCTGAATAAGTCATTAATCTAAGCATTTTACTGCATGGAAAACTAAACCCTAGGATCTTTATCCAGAACGTTTAAGGTCAGGAAAGATGGATGACATCGAGCACTTTATATTTAATAACTTCAAGAGATACTATATTGCAGATAACCCTCTGCATTATTGGTTTAAACCCCTCAACAGAATATGCAACTTGATATACAGGACAAGGTAACAACGGAAAAAGAACTGCCATCAGTAACATATAACAGAAATGGAATATACTTCAAGCATTCCAAAATCTCACACAAAAATGCTTAATTACACCACTAATAATATTTGTATCTTTTCACTCTTTTCTTCCCCACTTACCAGGCCAACCGACATTTTCCACTCCATCTTGCAATCTTCTCCATCACACCACTCTCTTCCACTTGATTGCCTTTCTACACAACCACCACCATCACCAACAACATCATCATCTCTTTCTTCATCACCATTACACAACCTCCATCGCCACCGAACCACCTAGCTACACCAATGCTACAGGGACACCAGCAACCCAACCCCAGTTACCCCGCCAACAGAAATTTTACCTTAGTCCTTGAACAAACAATAAAAAATCTGTAAATAGGGTCCTACTAGAAGGATTTTCTTTAGTAACGCCACACTTAAGAAAATGATAATTGCTATGTAAAAGAGTATTTCACAACTTAAAATTGACATTAGAAGTCTCATATGGGTCTAGTCTGACCCCAGGCATGACAGTGTAACAGGTTAACCAACCAAGTCTCAGATTCCAACAGGGACGGGGCCATAGAATCCAATCTTTACCCAGCAGTGGGCTTCTTCCTGAGCCAGGATAGAGATCTTTTCCTCTAAAATTAAAGCCTTTAATATAGATTGTACAAGTTACTGATTACATGAGATTAGATGTATCAAAAGCCTCAAGCAAAATAATACCTTGTGAATGGTGAAGGCAGGCTGTAGGTGCTTGAACCCAAGTAAAGGAGCACGTGAACAGCTTGTCACAAACTTCAGTAACATGCACCTTTCAATTGCTTTAAAGCCTTTCACAACCTGCAAGGTGGACATATAGAAGATAATCCTTTTGAAAAGATGGACATGTCCAAACAGGACTCACAAATGCACGGCAAAGAGATATATGTCAATCACATTAGTCGTATGAGAAGATGTAAAGACCTGAGAGAGTTTAACAAAACCCATATAAGGAATTTGATAGCTCTTACTAATAATACTACTCCACATAGGGTTCAATGACAGTAAAAGATCTATCAGCTGAACCGAATTAGTGCCATTGTACAATTAATTGCTATATTTTATAGAAGTGCTAACCAGTGACTGTCATATTGCATGATATAGTCCGAAACAGCTGGTACATATCAGTCTGCCCAACAACCAGTACACTGACCAGCCCATTTCAGGCAGCATGCAGGAAGCGAAGGTGCACCATCCAGTACACCCCTTGTGTATCACCAATATGGTCAAGTGATTTGGCTCGATTGGACTGGTACGGTCAAAATCTGATGGTTACTAACCAATACAGGTCAAGAACGATCAAGTATTAACTGTATCAGGCGATACATAGGCATATAAAACAGAACACCCCACTCGTCCTCTGTGCTGCCCGAAACGGGCTGGTCAATGTACCAGTGTACCAGTTGTCAGGCAGACTGGTACATACCAGTCGTTTCCTACTGTAACGAACAGTATGACAGTCACTAAACCTCACTATGACTGTTGTGCTTGCCTTCGTGGGGTGAGATCCTTTGTTACACCTTCCAGTTGTGATAAAACTTCACTTAGCTAGAAAGCCTACCATACCAAGATAGATAGGTACTATGATGTTCCAAAGGGCTTCACCGATCTTCTCACTATGACCTTCTTGTGCTTGTCTTTTTGGATTGAGATCCTTTCTTACACTTCAACCAATGGAGATAAAATTTCATTGCTATCATACCAACTTAGATAGGTACTATGATGTTCCAAAAGGGCTGGAAAGTGCTTAAGAATGCTGAAATATCACCTCTTGTTGATTGTCTCAAGTCGTAAAGAGCTGTCCCAAGCTGCTTCAACTCCTATTCAAGCAATTTCAACAGTCTGATTGATGAGAAATTAAGCCTAGATCAAGCCTAGTGCCAACATAGAGTGGTTAGTGTCGTGTCCAAGGTTGAACTCCATTTTAAAACATTTCACCATTAACAAAGCAACAGATCCTTAAGAGACCATATCTAAGGTACAAATGACACATGGATTTCTTGTAAATTGTAACAAATTAACTAAATATCTTCTACAAGTCCAGGGTAGTGTAGCCATTTCTCATTGCTCTCGATCAAAACTACTTTGGTTTCCTCCCCTACTTATCCTTATTGGAAAATTTAATGGTCTTCTTAAAAAATAACTAAACGACCTTAAATCACTTTCCGCCATCTCTCCTAAACGAACAATATATACATTTCCAAGTATGCAATCATTTTCTAATCTATTTATTCCTTGTAACACCAGCTATCAATCTCAATGTCCTCAGCTCAACAACATTAACATTTTGGACATTGTTCTCAATAATGGCATGTCAAATAAACTTGAACTGAAATCAACTACTATTAGTAGATTGAACTTTGTTAATTATAATTAGGTAAACAATCTATGAAAGTAATTTGTCTATGACACCAGACTATTTAATGTAGTTATATTTAAAAAGACAAAAAAATAACTAGCATTTAGTTTATGATACGCAAGAATGATCCTTGGATGACATTGTAACTTCTAATGATCACCTTAACACTCAAATGATCATCCAACATTGAAAAAAAAAACATCATTAGTTTATATTTCACAGCCAAGACTCTTGGTGCATTATATATTATTTTTCTCACAGAGCGAAAACCACTTAAGATGCAGAATATGATTTAGGAGATCATGCTAACTGACCACTCCAACATGGCAACAAAAGAATGCTGCACAGAACCAGAAACATAAATGCAATGATGTAACGTTTTCCCACGTGTTGAACTTCAGATTAGTCATAAAAAAACCCTTGGTTTTATTAGATCAGTACCTCCCAGAAGAGCTTGACTGTACGACTTGTCTCAGAATAACCACCAGAATACTTTGTATTGCTTCGGAGATCATCAACATCGAAGTCATTTATACCGCCTGAAAGCAACTGCATGAGGCAAGTATGGATCATAAGACCACACAGGATACCAACTTCTCAAAAGAAGGGAGGAGTTCCCCAGCAAATTTAAAAGTCCATTGTTTACAGGAATTTCCATTAGATGAAACAGATCAAATCAAATGTGCAATGAGCTTCGAATGTTTATTATTTTCTGCATAATTTATCATCAGGCATGAACATAGGAAAAATAATAATGCAACAACATCATGAGTTGACCATAAAAAGAATCCCTCAAGTGTCTGACGGAAAGATATTACATTGTAAGAATATGTAGTGGAATTTTGCAGATAACCACAAGATGTCTAAATATGAAGATCATCTCTGATTTTCTATATGTTATTATTGGGCCTCTCTTAAGTGCCCTGAGTCAATGCCATTATACAAAATGTTACAATTCTATCACATCACATCTGAAGGGAGAAGTACCTGGTTGAATTCATTTGCATTAAATAAGCTCAACCAAGATGGAGATATGAGATCAATCAAGCCTCTATAAAACGCATTTGCAAACGGGAGTATCTGCATCATACATTCGGTAAAGAGAAGTATCAGTAATCACAGGCAATATAAAATAACATGCCTAAGTATCACAACCACAAACATACTTGGCGATTCAGTTTGTAATCTGCCATTGCATGTACATATTGCAACTTATTCTCATTTGTTACCGAGATATTTGTACCACCAGGTTTAAGCTCGGTGACAATCCTTTTCCCACATATGTCCTCAGCAACGGTAAAATCTAAAGCTAGATCCGTGACATCACCATCAAAATGCTGTTGAATATAAGAATATTTAAAGTTTCAATCTAAATATACATGTAATACTGAAGTGTGAAATGAATTTAACAGTGTCAACATCAACAAAAAAAACATTAATATTTTCATCATCGTAACAAAGGCAATCATAATCATAAAGTAAACATAAGCAAATGTACCAGTCAACTCCTTTGATACCACTGGTCAGCTCAGAAAAATAAGTGCCAATTATTAATGGCATGGATTCCAAAACTTGTTCCTCAATGGCAGCATATTATAGGTTACTTGCCATTTTATGACAACTAATATTTTTTGAACTTTTGAACATGAAAGAACAAAAAGGTATCATAAAATCCTTCTCCATTGATATGGAGCAAGCTTTTAAAGAAATTCAAAATTGAGAAGTCCCTGTCAAAGATTCGACAAAAATATACTCTTAACCAGGGTTCTCAATTTCGATGTGTATCGCCCGGTACAGGCGGTACATACTGGTCCGAGAGGATACTGGTATGTGGACCATCCCCTACCAGGCGATACTAATGTTTTGATTGGTACTAAGACATACCAACCGATATCGAGGCATACCGACCAGTACCGCCTCGGATTTCGACCATTACCAAGGCATACCGGTCGGTACGCTCTGACATGGTAGGTGGAGGCATTTTTAAGGTTTTAGGACATACGACCGATACGCTCTGACATGGTAGGTGAAGGCATTTTTAAGGTTTTAGGACATACCGTCAGTATGCCCTGGTGTATCGATGGTACATACCGATATGTACCGCACCTAGAAGAGCTTGGTACACCGGTATGGACCAGTATTCAAAACCCTGCTCTTAGCTACCAAGTTAATGTGCCAAAATCCAACCTAAAGCATATACAGACAGAAGAGAAACTTGGCTTCTACAATGGTATACACCTAAATCTTTACTCCAATGTGCCTTACTGAGTACATTTGAGTGAACACTTAAGATGTCAAAGCCAAGCATAGTCAATAACCAGCTGCAATATGGTATGCACCTAAATCTCTGATCAAAAGGCTACAACGTTCTACTGGAGACCTGCATGTGCTTCGAACGCAAAAATATCGGAAAAGGGAGATATCTATGTAACATAATGCCCAAACTAAAAATTGGCTGTGAAGATTTTGTTTCAAGATGACATCTGCTATGCCAGGGACATTCTCTAGGAAGCTACTCACATTATAAAGAAATAATTGAATATAAACTGATATTCATGAAATCTGTAATTTGGCTCCTAAAAACACACCACAAAGATGACTAAAAATTAGGAATATCATAATGTGACAGTATGAGTAAAGCTAAAAATATATGCCCCCAGGATACAGCTACTTTAATTTGTTATGGAGCAGCGTCACCCTAAATCACCCAGAACTTAAGAGTCTTAGCCCTGACACTAAAATGCCATCAACAAGAACATCAGACATCACATCGGTTCACTTCAAGGTCAGTCCATGTTGTCCAGACTCAAGTATGGCAGAGTCAACCACTTGGAAAAGAGGGTGCCTTGGACCTACCTGCCTACATGACAGCCGCCTCAACACTAGCTGATGAATACTGATGAGAACAGCATAGACATGAACTACATTTGTCAAACTAGTCTTCTACTTGGACTAGGAGTTCATAGGAAGGTGGCAGCCTCCTTCAATTGGGAGACGGTTGGAAAGCTGATATTGACACATACAATAATTAGAAGACAAAACAGCAGTCTCCTTGAATTGGGAGAAGGTTGGAAGGCTAATACTGACTCATACGAGATATTAGAAGACAAACTGACTCAAAGCAGAAGCTTCCTCTTGATATTGGAGCTGAGGGCCTATTTAGAAATGAGGCCTTAGACTCAACTCTCAGGTTTCAAATGCCAAACAGACAGATACATACTAAACAATTTTTACTACTTCAATCAAGTATTGACACAATACATATGGCTCAACAACAGTAGATATCAGTTCATTTATTTTTTTATTATAATATTCAACTTTACCAAACAATATAGATCAGTATACCACCTGAAATACCAGTACCATATTGGTCCACTAGATGACCGAATGTGGCATCAGACTAATATATAACCTTGGTTAGAGTCGTTAGACCAGTGTTTTTAAAAGCACTAGGCGCCAAAAGGTGCCAAGGTCAAGCGAGTCGATCTAGAATATTAAAATATTAAAATATATAATATAATTTTAAAATATATATAATATAAAATGAAAATATGGTAACAATAGTTAATAGCAGTTTTAATTATCAGTTCCAAGGATTAATAATCCATTGTTAAGAGTAGTTTTAATCCATTGTTAACAATATGGATTCAATCAGGCGCTCGCTTGAGGCGCCCGATGCCTTGGCTCACGCGAATGCCCAGGCAACGCTTCAATGAAGTGTGTCGCTTGGATCCTATGCGAGGTGCTCGAGTGAGGCGAGTGAAGAGCATCGCTCAGACCCTGTGCGAGGCGCTTGGGCCTCGCCTTGCATCGCCCGAGCGACAATAGCAACGGAGAAAGCTGCAGACCTATCCCTTTATGACGGAGGGAGCTGCACATAAAAGATTAAGCGGTACAGGGAACTACGCATGAAAAAAGCAATGGTGAAGGAGGAAGATTCGAACCTTTACGTCGATGGCGAAGGACTTAGTCGGTGGTGGAATAGGAAGATTGGACCTTTTCATCGGCTACAGAGGAAGCAACGGCAAATCCTAGGGTTTACCGAGCGAGTCGAGGGAAGGGGGTGGGTTTTAATGTTTACTATTAGACTTAGTAGATTTAATTGAACTAACCAAGTCATTGTTGAATCAAACCAGAGTCCAAAATTTGGTTCAACTCATTGGATTCAATCAGGCGCTCGCCTAAGGCGCCCGGTGCCTCAGCTTACGCGAACGCCCAGGCGACTCTTCAATGAAGTGAGTCGCTTGGACCCTATGCGAGGTGCTCGAGTGAGGCGACTGAAGAGCGTCGCCCGAACCCTGCGTGAGGCGCTTGGGCCTTACCTTGCCTCGCCCGAGCGCCTAGGTTAGCATCTTGTCACACACTTAGCTGGTTTTGCCTAAGTCGTGCGGCACCCTTGCGTGTCCGTCCGCAAAGATCAACCTCCCCGAAACCTCCTATAGTCTCTTAGGACCTACAAAAGAGAAAACGAGTTAAAGAAAGCATCTCACTCGGGATCCACAATCAATCATTTCAGCAAACACTTCATAGTCAATGTAAATTACAAACAGACTTCACAAGCTCTGGACGACCGCACAACAAAGGGTCCAAAATGGTCTACTACAGACCGAAATCCCCACAAGTGCCCACATGATACAACCTTTGTTTGCAAGCCTAAAACGACCACCAAAACCAAAGAAAATGGAGCTGCTAAGCCTACTATCAGCCCTTTACATGCTGTGCAAAGCATGAACAAAACTGAAAGACATGGACATACATGAGCATTACATCAAACACCCCGTTTACAGTCTTGTCCGTGACAGCCTAGGCATCTTTTAAAAGCACTGGGTTAGACTATACCGACTATACCTTAACTAGGATGACCATCCCTACATGGCTGTTATCGACCAACATAAAGGACCCTGGGGGTTTTGTCCAGTTCTAAAATGAACATAAAGCAGTGAATTTGAGAGATATTTTAGTCAAGACCTGATGCATTATTTAGTCCAATTAGGATTATAGCATTGTAGCCTATAATGATTGATGATTCTAAGCAGGTAAGGCATCAGTTGAAACTCGAGATTTTATTCTTCATCCAAGTAGTCCTTAGAGATTTCCTATATACATGCCAAGAGATCTAGAACTTTTCATATAACCAAGGGAAGGAAGTAAATTCTTCTAAATATAATTGCAACAAACCACGATAGCAAATGATGCGTCATTGCAGGAATCTAATATTACAAAGTTACTGAAGTACATATGTAAAAGTGATCCTAAATCTTGCTTGTAACATGAAAAACTAAAGTAACTTGAGATCAAAATCATTTTTAAAAATTGATTGAAAATATAATATTGATTTAGTACATAATCTTCGTAGAAATTAAATAGCATCAACATATTTAAAAATCTGTTCTCCAACATAGCTGAAAGGTATTCTTATAAAAATGACCATGATCTATTATCAAAACGTAGGCTCAAAATGACTAAATAAAACAGTTTAAGCAAGCATCACCTGACTTATGAAAACATGCAGCAAGACCATACAACTTAAAGAGAGACTAAAGCTTGAAGAAAATTATTTACCTTTACATATATAAGATTTCTGTAGAGTTCAGAATCCAGAGTTGAGAGTTCATCAAGAAAGCTATACCGACCTAGTAGCTTTTGCACAAATACCAATGAAAAAGAATACTCCAGTAAAATGCCTTCATAAAGTGCTTTCCCAACAACCCTACCAAGGAATTCAATCATCTCAATGCCATTATCTAACAATCTAGCAGCCATATTAGGAATTAAGCTGCTATCTGAGGTGGATGTCTGTGAAAATAGACCAAACCTGCCCCAACCAAAAATAAGTGTTTATCCTTTAGATTTCATATATTTGAGATGCATCTGAAAAAAAAATAAAGCACAAATTAAATATGACTTACTCTGGGTTAAAGCCAGACTTAGACAAATCAGTTAAAAACTCCTTTGACAGACCACCATAGTCAAGACCAGCCTCGGGAAGACCACTTTCATTAATAAATGAAACATTAATGCATGACTTCAACTTAGGCCCAAGGAAGTTCAATTGCTTGTATCCATCTTCAACAATGTGGTCTCGACGAACAACAATAGCAATTGAACCAGAAGCTGGTCCAGATAATTCACCAGCCACTCTTCTGGAAACTTTGTCCAACTTGATGAGTTCCCTAAACATTTGAACCCTGCAAGAAGGCATCATTATGAACTAAAAGAAAATCCCACACAGAAATAGGATAAGCATTAATCTCAAAAGCAAAACTGTGTGAACTCTTCTTGACGTGGTTACTAGCAAAGTAATGTTGTAAGACAATGGAAGACAAAATGAACATCAACAGAACATAATACAACTAGCAACTATGCATAGTCAATAAAAGGATGTATTAGACATCAACCAAGGCAGGAATGTTAAGTTTTTTTCTTTGGCATAGTGAATGATAAATCACAAATCCACAATGGAAGTATACTGAAACAAATGACTTAAAACCAGTGATTTCAAAAGCGCTAGGCGTGAAAAGGCACCAAGGTGCAAAAACGCCCGAAGCGCTAGGCGCTCGCCTGAGCAAAACGAGGCGCTAAAATATAAAAATATATAAAATAATTAATAAATATAATTATTTAAATAAAAATATGATATTAAATTAAAAAATCTTATAGAATCACAATATCACATTAACAAAAAAATCTCAAAATTCAAAACAATAACAATAATTTCAAATAAATAAAAATTAGCAGTATTAAAAAAAAAAAAAAAAAATTGATTTAGTAGGAGCGGGAGTGGGAGCGACGATAGTGGCAAGCAACGGTAGTGGCAGCGGCAACGATAGCGGTAGTAGCGAGCAACGACAGTGGTGTAAGAGTAAGACTGAGACTGCTGACTGAGAGAAGCAGCAGCGGTAGCAGGAGCGGGAGCGACGAGGGGCGATAGTGACAACGGCAGCAGTGACAGCAACAACAAGCAACGACAGCGACAGTGGAGAGCAGCGACAAACAGGCAACGATAGCGGAGAGAGGCAGCAGCAGTAGAGAGGAAATGTCAACGGCAGAATCGCAAGCAGGGTTAGGGTTGAGGAAGTCACGAGAGGGATGTTGGGAGGCTGATATCGGTGCTTTAGTTGGTTCAATCGAACCAACTAAAGCACCGGAGATCGAACCAAATGTAAAACACTGGTTCGATCGCCTGGGCTCGGGCGAGCACCTAGGTGGCGCCTCTTTGAAGCGAGGCGCCTGGACATGAAGCGAGGCCCTCGGGCCTCGCCTCGCCTCACCCGAGCGCCTATTGAAATCGCTGCTTAAAACAATCTAATAATTCATCAGAACTAGTAAGATCTCACCAGGAGCACAGACAACAGTTCAATACAATGTTAAGACATTCAAGTCCAACTAACAACTAATACTGTTTGAGAAGAAGGCTAGAGGAAAGTTAAATTTAACATCTGCTGATTATGTCTACATTTATAATACAAACAGAGAGTAAAAAGTGGTTGTTCCTCTCATCTCAAACAATCTCTTCTTTTTTAATCCATGAGCAAATAAGGACCCTTTTAGTTGTTAAAGGTCTTAACTTAAAAAGATGGAATGTCAGAAGTGATGATGACTATTGATTAAGTAAACTTTCTCCAAGGGTGCTAATAGCCCAGGGTTTATACTAAGCCAAGCCTAGGGGCTATAGACCCAACCCAGCTTTAACATTGTTTAAATCTTTAGGATGGCGGAAGCAAGTCAGACTCAGTGCACATTTGTGTTGATCACATGTGGCTGGACCAAGTTGGGCCAAAGACCTAAAATTAAGGGAAGCCTGGGCACGCTTGATTTGATCTATGAACAGCACTATTCATTTAACATCCTTTCACTTTTTGAATATGTATCATAAATAGGGATGCTATGACCATTTTATCTCAGAGAACTTGTTAATAAACCCGTATGTACCAGGCAACAATCCATAATGCGTCACATCAAATTCTGCTTCCAGAACATAGTGGAAACTGGATATTACGAAATCATGGACTAAATAGGCAAATGATAATTATTTCTTATGTGTATAAATCCATCCTGTTATCAAAGGTCAAATGCATGATTGACAGGCCAAGGACCAAGTAATTCAGGGATCAGCAATTTAGAGGAATACAATGCCATTTAAAACATCTCAACTCTGCCACTATATAGTATATACATTAGCAAAAAGAATTATAGACTATAAATAAAATTCAAAAGAAAAGCTATAAGAAAACCAAAATTATTCTATGTTTTCTGGTCATGTAGAAATAGTATTGACCATAAATTTATAAAAGGCATAAAGAGCAGAGGTGAATTTCCAGATGCAACTAACCCCCATCTTAACCAAGTCTCTATACCTTATAATTATCATAAATTCATAATAACCAAATCCTTCAGATGCATTTCATTTATGACAAGAAATCTACTTTAAGGTTTCCAGTTCGTGTAACATCAATTCTTCTTACATGTCTAGTGCTAGAAACATGTTCCTACTTCCCTTGATGCACAGCCAAAAAGTTTGACATCCTATAAGTCACCTATCTATAGTTCTTTTCGACTGAGTTATCATAATTATGATGAAAGAAAATAAGCATCCCTCTTCCCGATCTTCCTAAAGTTTCACAATAATTTATAAGTTAAACTTACCCTAGTTTCTGTGACAAATTTCATTTCATTTTATTCATACAATGACAAAACTGGAGCTAGCAACCTTCTAGAAACTTAGGTGAGATTCAGGTTGCCAATGTTCTATGTACCGAACGGGGCAATGACACTTTCTTATGCTTTAGGTTCTTACCAGACACACTTAACAGGAAAACATGGCTAAATGAAAAAAATTCAATGTTTAAGTATAAAAGGATGACCAGAGGTCCTGATTATTATAGGCCTCTATACTACTGCACCACCAGATCTGAAAAGAAATTTTACATCTCTTCATTCTTGATGGTGATGAGGATGGGCCTTATCATGCTTCAAGTTATGAATATAATCTCTCTGATTGCAAAAATAAGACCACATTGGTGGGAACCTCGTGCACTAGGCTGCTCTTTTGCTTTCTTTACTTGATCATATTGAAAATGTCATTCATGTCTTTTTTATTTTTGTTATCTACAATTGATTAGTGTTAAGTGGAACGGTTCATTAGGCTTGTGTTTGAAAAGACAATCAAAGAAACTTGTTGAAGGATAGATATAAATACCAATCTATGTACAAACCACACTCTACCAGTCAGAAGCCAATCCTGTATGAGGTGTACGGATGTTAAATGATGAAACACGAATCATTAAAAACACAAGTATTCTTCTGGAGTTGCTTGTTGCTTCTAGACAATCAAATGACTTCAACAAGGCTCCACAATCTCTTGCAACTCTTCAAACCTATAAGCCAACAGAAACAGTTCTTGCAACCTAGTGTCTAATGTAAATGATCCAATCACAATCTTATCAGCTCCAGGTGACTTGTCAATGTAAGGATATAATCTACAATAAAATAGATTTGAGATGCTGAACTTGATTGGTAGCTGCAGGAAAAACACAATAGTGAGTTGATTAAAAGAAAGAATCAAGTCCTGTGCACAAGGCTCCCACGAGTACAGGACCTAGGAGAGACAATACACAAGACCTTACTTCACAAGCAGAGATGCTGTTTTCATGATTTAGACCCTGGTCACTCAAGTTGCAAAAGAACAATCTTACTATGATATCATTAGACACCCTCTGCACTAATGAATCGATGAAGACTAATAGTTATCTAGCAAAAAACCACAGCACTTGATATAAAGCTTCATAAAATGAATCATATATTAAGGCTTGAAAACAATTGATATATGATTTGAAAAACAATAACCACATTGGAAAAGCAATATTCTCGTTTAAAACCAATCAGCACCATACCTTTCCTCAAATGGATATACATGTGGTACGGTTGTTAGAATAGAGCTCACCGCAGGAATGGTTGAAGTATCTGTACCTTGCAGGTTTGAAAATGCAGCTTCATGAGCCCTAGCAGCTGCTGCAACTGGAAACCAACCTTTTCTAGCAGGCGCTAACCATAGAAAAGATGGGCAAAACTTGTGCCTGCAGTCCCTTTCATACAGGAAATGAAGGCATCTGACTGCCACATCAATCACTGGTCTGCAACTATTTCCATTGTGGACCAAAGAATTATAAACAAATGTATTAAGCACTGCTGCAATTCTTCGCTGCTGCTGCAGCGTGAAAGGAACCTAATGGAAAAAGGAGCAAACACCAAAAAGGGGGGACAAAATCAGATTCACATAAAAAACAAAAACAACCTAGAAAGTGAGTGAGCATCAATTACCTGTTTTTCATAGAATTCTATATCATCTAGAACTAATAACAAGTGTGCATAAGTAGCACAAAAGAGATACAAGATGCATGACAAATCCTTCGAAATCCCTTGAGCACCTTGTCTCATAGTTCCAATATCCCATATGTCGTAGCTTTCTTCAGCACACTGGCTCGGAAATAGAGGGACATCTCTTGAACAGGCATGAGTTTCGTTAGTTGACTTTCCAGCAATCTTTTGTAGCACATTTGCCCACTTACTTCCACTGTCCTTCATATTTCGAGGTTGCCTTGTATCAGATATCACTTCAGTCTGTCTCTCAAAAGGTTCATCTCTGAATTGTTTGACGTCATGAGACACATGATCAGTTCCACAAGAAATAGAACTTTCCAGTATTTCCCAAAGCTCCAGAAGGAATCCGGGAGTAAAGGATAGTACATTAAGGATAGGTAACGAGCCAACAACAGGATTCAACAAAGAAAATATTCGAAGGAAATAATAATAGAAATATATGACATCTTGTAGACTCCAGTTCCTAGGATCCTCTAAGCTCTGATTTGTTACAAAAGAATCTGCCGCTTCAGCTGGAGTAATTGTTTTTGTCATGGTCAGAAGCTTCCTCAGAAGCCACTGTTGATGCACAGGTCTAAGAAGATCAGTGTGGAACATCGCACGAGTGCATTCATCTGAATCAGCATCTCCTGGAAAAGAGTCACTAGTCACCAATATATCATCACTATCCTTTTTCACCAATCCTTCATTGCTCTCCAGCCAAAGTAGGAAATTCTCTGAGATACAGTTAACAGCATGAACATATAGTTGACAATTTAGACCTTGGACAAAACAGCCAGAAGCACCAGAATCATTATTTTCTATAGACAAGTTTACAATGTTTGCAAGGGCCCAGCCCAAGGAAGGAATTGCTTTGGCAGTCAGACCTGACATTTCAGACTGGTCCAGATTCAACATCTCATCAAAGATTTTATCCTTGGAAACCTGCAAGCACCTACCCAGATATTGATTAGTTGAATGATATCTAAATTGTCACTATACCAAGAGTATATTGTTAATAGATGATAATTGTTTTGTGCTAAAACTAACAGAATCATGGTTTCAAATAACCGTCAGCACGACACATACTGCCTAATATATACCAGCACGATCAAGGACCTCTTTGAACCATGTATGGGTACTAGTTGGAACTCATTTTTTTCAATGATAGGTACATATCAGTGCGCTGGTATATGTGTCACCATATTTAAAAGCATAGGCAGAACCATTATTAAGGAGGAGATGCTTAATTCTCCTTGAGAGATAGAATTGCACAAACAACCCCATCTGCACAAACCTCTCATATGTGTGTATAAGGAATTAGTTTCTGAAAACAATTTAATTAAGGCAGCAGATAGCTTTGTCATAAAACTAAAAGCTTATTGGATAAAGATATCCGTCTCACTGATAGTACTTCAAGAATATGCAATGAAGAATCATAAAACAAACATCTTGGATTCTAAATCTAGATGTACAGGAAACACACTCATCTCCAGGGCATGTATTGGACAGATTTAATAAAAACATAACCTAAATAACAGTTATTTGATGTATGAAGCTATGCATAATAAAGTTCCAAAACCAAACAGATAATGAGTAGAGGTTTACCGATAAAACAGTGAGACATGGTAGCAGAACACGCTCATGTTTAAGAGCAGGCAGAAGTAGCGTTGGCAGAAGCCGAGTCAAATATGGAATCGTCAATATATATATACAGTACTTCTTAGAAGCATCATTCACATCAACAACATTGGAGTCATTCACATCTAACCTCTTCAAATGAAATGGGCGCAAAGATAAAGTCATGGCACTTGCAATAATCAGGAGATTATTTTCTGATGATGAGAAAATTGTCCTGCAGGAAGCATTCTGAGGACCATGTCTCAGCATGTACTTCCTAAAACAGCTATATATACCACTAAGGTTTGTAGTCATAAATCCAATTAATCTATTCACAGCAAAATGTGCATCTCCGATATCATCAGCTCTTAGATTCTTCCATCCTTTTATATCAGTTAAAGAAACAACTAAGCGCATTGCCAGAGCTGTAAGTGGAACCAGGTCACCCACATGACTGGAATTATCACACTCCGCAAGGAAAAACAGGCACAATGAAACTAGCCTTTGTGCTTGATAAAGCCATTTAGATTTCTCCTGCTGGGTACCCACAGATAGTAAACAAAAGTTCTTTTGTGCATCTACAAGTCACAAGAACAAAAAGTCAGCAAGAAGTGTTGATCTCGACATGCAGCGTGGCATGAAATGGCAGGAAATGTAGAAGTTCTAGAATTACTAAGGGATTCTGTTTGATGAATGCATCAAAACAACCTCTTCTAGATGAAGTTCCATGGTGCAAAATAAGAATGTAGTAAACTTCATTCAGAATGCAAGGATTATGAAAATCTGCATACCAGCTGAGCTAATACTTTGTAAGAGAATTCCAAAACATTTCATGACACATTTCACATTCCTAAGTTGTAGCTTCCACAGAGCCGGTGAGCGAGTAGCAAAGAAAAGAAAGGGTCTTAAGAAATTATTGGAGATCCATCCACTAGTCATGTGATCATCATAGTGATCAGCTAATGCTTCCCATTCTTCTTGAAGCTGTTCTGAGACCTTCTTGATAACAATATACCTCCGCCAGACTCTCTGAATGAGAAGTAACAAACCAGAAACAAGTTAAAATCACTTGTTGAGATTCAGTCACAGGATAACCAATTGCAATCCAGTCAAATTGTACATGAGGCACAAGAAAAAACGGGAAACCCATGCAGAATCATCTTTCAGCATTTTGCATCATTTACTTCAGACAAACTTAGCACAAACACATTGTGGGGCTGCCACATAAAATGTGGCGTATATGTGGATGCAGATGTTCAATTCGTAAGTTAAATTTTGAAAAATTTATTTGACTGCGTTAACAAATTTATCGTTACCTCCTAATGTGTACATAGCAGAGCTAACAAACAACGTCCTTTTACAAAGTGTACAATGACTTCAGAATTATAACCCAAGTAAGATACAAAATCTAATTCTGCAAGTATTATAACCTGACGCCTACTTTCACATTGGCACTAATCGACCACCACTAAAAACATTACGTCTGGAATTGTCAATGGACCAATCGTGCTCCTAGGAAATGATACGTCCTTATTTCCAGAAATTATATAAAAATTTTATAAAATATTTCCGTACTAAATCACGACGAGTCGACGATGCATAAATTCCCAATCTTCATGATATCAATTCAAAAAGATAAAATATAGGGAGAAAGGAAGTAGGGTACCAACCTGGATGAAGAGGGCAGCGGCGGAGGCACGGCGCTGGTAGCTACGGAGCTCCCTCTCGTGGGCAAGCTTCTCGAGGAGGGCGTCCCTTGTGATCTCCTTAGCGCTCGCGCCCCTCAGCGAGACCTGAGGCGACCGCGAGGAGACCGAAAGAAGGGATCAGAGGTCGGCGCCCCAAGAACTCTTTCGAGAAAGTCGCACGACTCGGGGAAATAATCGGAGACTGGTGCAGGAGGGAGGTACTTACCTGCCGTTGCTGCGGAGGTCCCGACATGCCGGGGGTGTTGCTCGCCGCTCCGCCCCCGTTCCCTCTAGCAAATCGATATTAGTGTTTTCCCGACACGGCCATTTTTGCCACGCCGAATCACCTGGAGGGACCACCAGGGTGATGTCCCTCCTCACGGGACCCACTTCTCGATAGAATGCGTCGACCGGCCTCGCCACGTCATGCGGAGAAGTTGCTGGGTGAGTCTGTACGGGTGCCCCAAGAATTGGGTTCGGAAACTGGATTTGCCCGGTCAGTCTCCCCTGTCAATCTTTTTCTTTTCTTTTTTTTCTGTTCAGGAAATTTCAAACATAAGTGAATACCTTTAGAAAAACACTTTCAATTTGAAAGATATTTATAAATTTATATAATTTTAAAGGAGTATTAATGATATCCTGTGATCTCTATGAGAGCTTTCACCTCGCCATAGTCATGGAAGAAACCTCATTATCCTTTATCCTCTGGAGCTAGCAAAAAATACCATAATAATCATGAGATATAGTTTTCTTCGATCCATTTAGCTTTCCGGGAGCCCTCTCGAACATCAACCAAGTGTAGCCAAACCTTGATATAAATTACTAACAGAGAGCATTCACGTCTATGTTGATCACCAAAGTATGAGAAACTAAATTTCATGAACAAATGACCTTATTAAAATACTAACCAGTTTCATCAAAAAGCATCATCAGAACGAGGTGGTAAAGAAGTTGTCTGCTTATCAATGTAAGGTTAACATACTATAATCACTGGGAAGGATTTTATACTCACAGTGACAGCAAAAACTGACTGATATAAGATGCTGAAAAAACGGCAATCTCTTCTCTTCGACATGCGACAATTCTATGATCATCAATGGAGGATCTACATGCTATATCCACTCATGGTGGCTGGCGCCTACAAGTTCAAAGCAAAGATAATAAAAATGATCTTGGGGTGAGAGACAATTCACAACATATCCACTGAGCATAGAGTCCTTCTTGTGATACACACAAACGATAAACATAGAGTCGCAAATACACGAGTGAGAGGCACACCGTGTCATTCATCAAAACCAACATGAAATTAACCGGAGAGATCTGTCAATTAAAAACAAAACAGCAATTAAAGATCTGTCCTCGAACTGAACGGACGGTTCAATTGAACTCTACCAAGTTACTGAATTGGAACAGTTCCTCCCAGAAGTTGATAGCCAGATCCCAGTAATGTGGAAATCCAGCATCAACAAAGACTTTCTAGCAGCACTACCCTGCCACACCAAGACACAACTGTTAGAAGGGCCATCTGTTTCCTCACCAAGCTCTTCCTCGTTGCCAACTGCAGCAACCAAGTTTACCCTTCTCAGCATCAACTTTCCATATCTTTTTATTGATTTTCTAACTCCTTCCACAACCACAACACTAATGTCATCTGATATCACAGCACAACCTGTCAGTTGGTTCTCCTGAGCATTCACAGACAAAAAGTCTCCAGTGAATTTGGATATCACAGGACAACCTGTGTTTGGAGGTGAGATAAGTCCCTGATCCTGCACACAGACAAAAGTCTCCACTGAATTGGGATCATCATAAAGCTTCTTCTCTTTCTTTTCACACCGTTCAGCAGGGGTCAGCTTGCGAGCAATGTTTCTATCAACATGTGCTTGTTCGCACTCAGCAGCAGCACTACGAATCTCCATTTCAAGCTTTGTTGGATCTTGAGTTGCTTCAGAAGCAAGAACTTTCATCAAGTTGCTCATTTTGACCTCTGACTTAAAAGCCTCTAAAGGCCTTGTCTGGTCATTTCTTGCATGTCTCACTCTTCCACAATACGCCTCTGCGTCCTGAGCTTCTATTGTTCTTTCTTTGTTAGCTTTAGAGGTTGTGGTGGTGGTGGTGGTGGTGGGGCAGGCTCTTTTGTTCTTTCTTTGTTAGCTTTAGAGGTTGTGGTGGTAGTGGTGATGGTGGGGCAGGCTCAGCAAGACGCCTTTGCCTTCACAAGCTGAGTCTGCTTGATCTTCAACTATTTTGCTTGTGCTTCCCCAAAATGACTCTGCAGAACAAAGCACCCATACAAAGGCAAGCTGACAGTACAAAGGCATCTATGCCATCAAAAGATACAGTAGAAAACAATATATTGAACCACACCTTGAAGTTTATAATCTCTGCCTGCTTTGACCATTTACCTTGGTCTTAACAGCTTTGTCTTATTTGAACCCATGCACTAATCAAAATGAGATGTAGATGCTCATCTAAATCCGGTTTAATTATTTGAAATGCTTCTTTCTTCTGCTTGTTAATGTTGACCTGAAACCGAAAGTGAAACTTTGTTGTTACAGTACTAGCATACATCACAAATCAAAACTAAGAAGGGGAAAAAAAACAAGTTGCTAAGAGGAGCCTATGCATCTAAGTGCAGAACAGGAGCCTTCACAGGTTACAGCCATGTCAACTGGCAACTGTCCAGGATACATGTTAATAAGAGGTGCAAACTCTGGGTCCTGACAAAACCCCATCCCGGCAGCAAGTTATTGTGCTCGCTTTACAGCTTCAATCTTACCGTATATTTGTGAGCCCAGGAAGGACAACCATACCACCTGCAGCAGATAGATTTTCCGATGTTGCATCCCCTGGTTGTCCTGGAACTGTCTAAACATAGGTTGCAAAGGCAGAACTCCGCAAGCCAGAATGGCCAGGTTGGGCTACACCTGCTAGAGGAACTTTACCTCCATCTTTATTGGATGCTACCTAGGCAGTGCTCAATCTAACATGTTTGTTTAGCTGTAAATGTAAATAAAAAACACTTAAATTAATTGCACAAAGAGAGAATGAACAATGATGCATGACTGGAGGAAAACATCATAGTATAATTACCAATAGGGAATCTTCTATTGCTTCTCAGACAATTCTTTCTGCAGTTGTAGTGCTCTTTTAGCTTTTGCTAAAGCATCAAGAGACAAGCTGCCACTTTTGGGAGGAACTGAAGTTTCTGTGCCATCGGTACTGGAATTTGAAGGAACCTCATCAGATCTAATACTAACTCCTGCATTTTCATTTGTGGTAGTAAATGAAGATACTTTGGTAAGAAGAGAACGGTGAGATGCAGCAAATCTCGTAGAAACCTTTGATACCAAAGTGAATGAATCCTGGGCAACAACCTGCAAGACCCCAAGTAATTCATAGGAATGGTTGCAAAAACTCTGGCATGAAAAAAAAAAGTTATTGACTTCAAAAAAAAAAGAGAACACATTACATTTAAAAACTAGCTAATGGAACTAAAAAGTTTATCATAAAGTACAACTAAAACATCAAACTTCAGAAGAAGACTATCAAGACAAAATCACACAGTTGACTTCTTAACAAGAAGGATAACTTGATGCTCATCAAGTTGAACAAGAAAAATAAAGTCTAAGTATTATAGAGTGATAGAATTTAGAAAACTATTTATCGCCAAAGGAGTTGTCAGTAAGTCTTCTCTAGTGACTGGCAAAAGAGGACATGATGACATTATAAGGATATCTACGTACTTAGTGGCTCATATATTTCAAGTTCTCAAACAAGCAAAACCACTTGAGCCCATGGTCTGGGATATTCAATAGCACCACAAATGACACCTATTCTTTATAAACACCTTGGTTGCAAACCATCCACTCAATTTTCATTTTGAATAGCCAGAAACAAATTGTAAATTCAGTCCAAGATTTTTTGCCAATGTAAAGTTATACAAACAACTGCTGGCCGATCACACTACATACATTTCTTGACTAAAATAATAGTATAAGGATGCTATTCCACTACAAAAGCGTTCAAACTAGTACCAAAAGGAAAGAAACATTATAGGATTTGGAAACTTCATCTCTCGAATTGACCAAACATACTTACAAACCAAATTCTTATGTGGGAGATAGACTTACATGCTTAAAGAAATCAACATCTTCTCGATATATTCCTCTGGAATTGGGAACTGTTCAGATTATAATAACACAACTAGTCTGCATCAAATTTAATGATGTCCAAAACTTAGGTCCAATTAGTGATCACCATCCTTGACCCAATCACTTCAAGACAACAACAAATAGTTCATAAAACAGTAGTGAAATTGATGTCCACAGAAATATCATCAGAAGTGTATAATTTTAAAAATATACTTCATGTAGCATGACGTTTAGTTAGATTTGATAAATCTCAGACACCCTTGAACAAGCTATAATAGGATTTTTATACCGAATTCCAACATGCTGATGCAAGTTTTAGCTCCTTTGACTTAGCACATCAACTAGCACCACATTACATGAAGTGTATGCCATATCAATGCTTATTGAAAAGCCATACATTTCAGATACTATGTGACAAACTAGGGAACACGTGGATGTAAAGTGAGGTAACTCATAGACCTGTTGACCATATTCAGTACACAGGATGAAGCATATATGCAATTGTAATTTTTCATCATTTTACAAAATTCATTTTTCATTTGGATTTATTGTGGCAAGGTTTTCCTTATTTACATGCGTTAGCTTGTTGTTAGTCCTACATTTGTTTCCTCTTCTCAGCCTCGGTAAATCCCTCAAGAGCTTTAGTTACTTTAAGCTGTATCTAAAGCAAGCCAGGTATCTGATTGAAGTCAATCTCATGTTTTATTGAAGTGGATAAAGATACTTCATTAACTATAATTAGATAGAAAGTCAAACTTCTGTTTGTCTATAAGATGACAAATTAAAAAACAAAACAAAAAGGGCATCTCACATTGTATTTTAATTCTGATTAAATATATTAAAGGGAAGTGAGAAAACCAATAGGTCCTTACATTGAAAGTGTCACTTTCTTTCTCCAAAGCTAAATTACCCAGGTTATCTTTTTCAACTTGATCGATTGTTCTGTTCTGCGAGTTCACAGCCAGCATCCTGTCATCACGGGATCTCTCCACATCCCCTTCCGTAACCCTATCTTTAGATCTAGGCTCATCCTTTGCCTCTTTCTTGTGAAGAAATTTGTCATCATCATCGGAATCTTTCCTCTCAACCTTCACAGCACCAGTAATCTTTTCCCTTCTTTCCTCGGTTTCTTCTTATCTTCTCCATCACTAATAATATCACCTTTCACCCTCTTTTCCTCTCAACATTCACAGCATCTGTAATCTTTTCCCTATCCTCGGTTTCTTCTTATCTTCTCCATCACTTATAATATCATCTTTCACCCTCTTTTCCTCTCTCCTCTCTTCCCTATCACTCGACCTGTCTTCCCTCCTACTCCTCGAGTACCTCTCATATAATCTATCCTCATTATGATCTCGATTTTAATCCTCCACAGGCCATTAACTTGAAACGCCGCCTCTCCTTTTCGGCGTATCTCTCCACATCGGAAACCCTAACACTCTTCCCGCTCTTCTCCAGACCCTCCTCGTCCCCGTGCTTCTTCCGCTTATTCGAGGAGTAGCTGTGCCGCTCCTCTAAACGCTTGCGATCAACCGAGTCCCGCGGCCGGCTGGAGGAGCGCTCGCGGTGGTCAGGGCCTGGGTCGGTGAAGGTGTCAGAGGGGGAAAGACCTCTGAGGCGGTAGTGGCGGTTGTCGTCCGAGTTCTTGATGCCACCGTGGTGGTGGTGGTGGGGGTGCTTGTGATCGCCGTCCCGATCCCGATCGCGGTAATGATCCTCGGATGAATCGCGTTCGCGCTCGTGATTCTTGGAGGATTTGCGAGGATTTGCGGCCCGACCGATCCCTCTCGGAGGTCCCATCCCTGGAGTGGGGTTTCACCTCGAGGCTCTGCAGAAATGAGATTGGGTAGACTTCAGCTCGCGAAGCCAAATATATATAGCTAATTATTCGCACGTGGAAAGCATTTGATATATATATATATATATATATGTATATATATATATATGTATATATATATATATGTATATATATATATGTATATATATATATGTATATATATATATATACATATATATATATATATATATATATATATATATACGTTCGTTTCGAATAATATTAAAAATATCTTTCGATCATCGACACCCTATGATCATAAGATGCACTGATCTAAATGGATAAATCGATCTGTACCATGATTATTCAAGTCATTGGGTTTTCTTTTGAGAAAAAATAATAAATATGAGTCTTTTCAATAAAATCATCCAACAGCTGTGCCATCTGTCAACCTTGATGTGCTTACACTGATAATTTATGTCGGATAGACACTTTTTGCCATCCATGTTTATTAGCACAATTACAAGCATACACATCCATCTAATTTAGATTGTTAGTCGTTCCATCAAGTTCAAGCTTGTTGAGTGAATGAATGGCTGGCATGAGTGCAACTCCAAGTCATGATCTTTGGGTGGGATTTGGTAGAGATTTTGTGGAGGTCACAAAGAAACATGAGATCATACCTATATAAATTTATTTACTCATGTATTTACTACTAACTTCAGTAATCCACATTCACATTTCTCTGTCCACCGGGCAGGTTTGTGCCAACTTCTTTAGGTTTTCAATGATCATGACCAGCTTAGTGTTGAGCTTGTTCACAAAACACTTGGGCAGCCAACCAGCCGGATCCAACTGCCGTAAAAGAAATAAAAGATCAAGTGAGCAACACATGAATTCCACAAGAACCTGAACAAGAAATCTCACAACTTGTCATTTCGGATGTCAATGTACTGTGTATCTGATAAGGGTTAGGTTTATGGCTTGCAGGGTTATTCCTTTCGAGAAGAAAGTAGATGCAGAAAAGTAGTGAGCAACAGTATGATTTGATTACCTACCTGAACAACATACGTCACCACGCAAGAGTCATCTTCAAGCTTCTCCACCACCCATCCAGATTGAAGCAACAGCCCTCGAATGGCATTACCGTTCTTTGGCTGCAATCCTGCAGCTATTTCATGAGGCAGAGAAGCCACAGCCACCACCTATAATGTATACAGAGAGTGTAAGTTCACAGGGTTTTGTTGATGTGCTGACAGGGCTGAGAGGAGTCTCACTAGGGTTCCATCATCCAGACTCTCACGGCGCTCGTAGACTACGAATTCTCGCTTCTTGAAGAGCGGCTTCGATGCGTCACCAAACCTCAGTGCAATGATCCTGAGGTTGTCATCGAGGTCCTTGATGTGTTTTGCTTCCACCAGATCCGGATCCCATTGCTGGAGTGGAAGAGAGAAGATGGTGCGAGTCAATATGGCAAGCGTTCGAGAAGATCATAGCACGAGGCTTCAGTTTGCAGCTCAGGAAGCAGACGGTGGGAATGCCCAAGCTGGTCGTATGGTCTTCTTCGAGTATCCTGAGAAACTCGAGTGGATGTTCTCCATCACATCCATGTTCGGCAACGCACTCGATGTAAGTTCTTACCAAGAAACATGCCATGTGGAGTCTCGTGGGATGAGTTAATTGTTCACCTACCGATCTAATGATCCCAACACAGTTCGTCTTCTCGTTCCATCTTTTCTGAACTACCACTATCCGTAGATGAGGGAGAGCATAACGACGTGTTTGAACTGACCTTAGCGGCATCAATGGCGTTGGCGACCATGAAGAACTGCTGTGGGGAAACCGAGCGGAGAAGCCAGCGGCTTCTGAAGACGTGCAGCGAGGCTGAGCTCCTCCTCGAGATCTCAACGCCATTCCGAAACGTCAAGACCTTCCAACCATCGCTGGACTCGGAGGCCGATAAGAGCTCCTGAATGCATCTCTCGCTCGCATAGTTCACGTACCTCCTCAACGAATCCTCGCTTACAGACCTTCCGACAAACTCAGATCACGTTAGTACGGGCATGCAAGAAGAGCTTATCATATGTAGGATCAAGTTTCATGGACACGGCGGTCGTGAATCTTTACCAGGAGCGAGAACAAGACGTAGCGGCGGGTGGAGAAGGAGCATTGCTCATTGTGTCAGATGGTTGCATGCGGTGGATGTGTTAAGGAAGAGAGTTCATATATGGATAGCTTCAAAGTGAGGAGTCATGAAGGCGAGGGATGGAGGATGGATGTGGGCAGGTAGTGATTGGGGCACATGCAGTGCCGGTGCAGGAACCCTCCATGATTGGGCCAGCACGTGCTCTCTCCACACACAGCCATTAAAGATGGATTCTTTGCTTTAAAGGGGCGAAGGGAAGGGGTGGGGAAGACGAAGCACATGCACTGTTGTTGGTGGCGAGGCATGGAAGGAAGAGTACACCGAGAAGGTAACTCTGAGAACCATTGCTGGAAAGGATTCCCCTGGTCCTTTCCGGTGTCCCAACGAGTCAGTCCTCCACAGGAACGTGCATCTGCTCCTTACCACATGGTGGCAACTTAGGATGCCACCTCAGAAGGGTCCCACCGACGGCATGTTATGCTGGGCCCTCCCTGGTGTCTTCTCTGCTACTCATCCACCGCTTTGTTGCGATTCTAATTTGAAGGAGATGAGTGTAGCAGAGGTTTGGTCCACCATGTCATGGAGCTTTGAAGGGTCTTCATGGTGTGATACCAGATGCTCCAAGCAGTTGAATGAGTGAAAGCCAAGTTATGGAGGAGAAAGCTATCAAGGTTCGAAGGTTTTTCCAGGTTCTTTTGCTGCGCATGAGGCAAGGAACAAACCTCTTTAATAGGAAATAAAGAAAGAAAAACTGTACCTTCAGTCACCATGGAAAAGGATCATAATTAAGGACCCAATTTGCATGAAAGGTTAGCTACAGAAAGTAGGAGTTAAGGACCAAAAAGCCTCGCTTCATTGGTAGTTCAACGCATCCATTAGCTTGCAGAAAAGATGAGTCTCATCACTTTTGTGCTAATAAGTTGTAATGGTGAGCGAGCCTTTTGCTTTCTGCATCACCTTTCAATCTTTGATGGCATCTTTTATCGGTTTGAAGGCCAGGAGAAGAACAACAACAGGGTGCATCTCTGTGGAAGACTAGGGTTCAGTTTCTCTTTCATTCGATATTGTTCATGAACATCTGTCAGCTTGCCTTCAGATGTGAAGAACACAGGGTTCTGAATTGTAAATTCTAGTCAAACATACTGAACAAGAGCAAGCACAAAGGGTTCAGCATCAAAATGCATGCAGGACATCAAAAGAAAACAATTCAGATCTGCCATCACACTGTCAGCAGTGCGTCCAGGCATCAGAAACTACAAGAAGCCAATTTGAAGTGGGCTAGACTAGACAGCTAGATTTCTATGTTATGAGGATGACTCCATGGCTTCTGAAGCACCTTGAATGAGCTAAAATAATTCAAGGTTCAATCTTTTAGATCTCGACTCTCAATTTTTAAACAGGAATGCAGCAGAGCATCTGAATGAGCCACTGGATTTTTTGAGCAAGCATCAATGGGGTTACTTGTTTTTAGTGTTCATCATTAGGTAGGATGTGTATAAGCTGTCAGTGTCAGATTTGATGAGTTGTTATCACTTCAAGCTAGAATGAATAAGATCCCATGTTTTGGGGAACATTTATCCCAAATTCTTCTTGAGAAGAAAACATTATAGGTGTAAATATGCACAAACAAAATGATCTCATTTGTACATCCTGTTTAGGAAGGAAGATGGGCAAGTAATGGGTGTCTTCCTTGATGGATAAGAACAGAATCACTACCTACTAAGCCATCATTCAGATTCTTTCCTTGATGTAAAAGAACTTGCCAAATTTTGGTGCAGAAAAGGAGTTAATTTCTTGAAGGATGATGAAAAATAACAGATTGGATGTATATTAGAAACATGCCAACATTGGATTCAAGAGTGACTATAAAATTTGCAAGGGTGGGAGGATCCCAGCTTTATACCACCTATGGAGGGCATCAAGTTCATAAGGAAAAAAAGAAGTGCATTAAGAGCATTTTGAATGATGTAAATATAGTGGGGAAGGCTCATTTGCTATGTTTTGTTGACCTTCTTATGCTCACAAGAAAAATCATTCAAAGTCAACACCAGTTTTGTAATTGTTTGCTGTAGCACCAAATAGATGATCAGAAAGGAACACCAGCAAATCCTAACACAATTAAAGAACAGCCAAATCTAGGACAGACCAAGTCTTCTCATTCACTATCACTGGAAAGTCATCCTCTGAACCCACCCATCACCTTTGCCTACATCAACCATGTCTTCTTCACGACAGCACAACCTGCCCAACACAAATGACAAGATTTGATTGTTTGCTGTAGCACAGTCACCTGAATAGAAGTCCACAAGGTCCATAACAAAGCCATACCAACAGCCCCATGTCTGCTATTGGCAGTGTAGATGTTGATTGTCGTACTCTTTCAAGAAGGAAACCACAATTATGTTTTAAACCACTTTATCAAGGGAAGAAAAAAGATATAGAACACTACCAACCCTGGCAACACCAAAAGATTTGAGTTGCAGCAGGAGTCTCATGATCCTGCGGCATAGATCAAGACCAAAGGCCCAATAAAAGCTTATATCGGTGGTGGAAGATGGGCTTAAATTTAGATGGAATCCTCGTAAGAGATGAATCCATGAGGCTGAGGCATTACTTCAGCTGGAGGAGAATAAATGGTACAAAAAGAAATGAAGAAGACCATATGAAACCAAACAAATTAAAACCAGAATATTATGTGTAGATACTTAAATTAGGCAGGGTAAAAGCTAAATTGTTCCAAAAGCCTGCAGTGTATATCTATCTATCAGCTGATATCAGAAAGAGAAAAGGTTTCTGAGATGCAATTTGTGCCTAGTGAAACAGAGCAAAGGAGTGCAGGCAAGGCTTCTATGCTTTAGTTTCTGTTCTCTTCTTGGGTGATTGTTCTTAAATCTAGATTGGTCTGTATCATGCAGAGAGTAAATATTTGATGGGGAAAACATGTAATCTCTGCCTGATTGCAGTTTGATGGATCCTTTATCAGCCATTAATTTGATTGTGCAGGAATTAATTAGCATGTCTGAAGGACTGAAGCCATAATCCAACTATCTTATTAACAACACTATATGTTAAATAAGTTTGTACAAGTTGGATAGAATCTAACATCTTGTGGAACAGCACTCCACAAACATGGTGGCCATGCCTTACACCTGCAACACATCCAGAAAAAAACAAGGTTTTGTTGTCATGACCTGCTCCATTCTCTTCTACTCCAAGATTCTATGTTCTCTGGGTAGATACTAAAATAACCATGCAGCAAGAGCACATTGTGAGACTACATCAACATTTTGCACACTCCTAATCCAAGTTTTTTTGGAGGACCACAATACTTGTCTGAATCAGCTATATCATGGACAGCATCATAAATTATGACTTGGCACTAAAAGTTGTGCACAATGAGAAGTAGTCAAGTCATTGTTGATTAATAGAATGTGCCAATGAAGGACTAATCTCACAGAGAGCATGTGCCATGCAATGCCCCTTTCATTTGGTTGTTCAGATGAAGACACTGAGGGTGTTGGTTGAGAAATCCATCTCAACCTCAATCATTGCATAAACCTACTAACTATTAGATTGGATCCTTTCATAAATGTATGTGAAATGGACCCAATTTGATTTTAACTATTGACAGGGAGTAAACCCAAGTAATTGAACCTCATCAACATTTTTCTTTCAACCCAGGGATGCCAGTGATCTGGTTTCATTATGAATATGAACAGCACACAGATTTGTTTTTTGGCAGGATCTTGAATGACCATGACAACCAGTACAAACTCTTCTCAGGTGAAGAGGACAGACATGCTTCTTTTTCTTTTCTTCTCCATCTCTTGTTATAAGCAATTGTGCTACTCTTTGGCACACAGAACAAGGGACAGAAGAAACCAGATTTCATGAGAAAACCATCTTACAAAACTATATATAAAATGTATTCTGATGCACCAATCTCAGTTTATATGGATCAGATTCCATCTCCTTTTCCACCAAACATTCTTTAGCAGGAAATATTTGTCTGCATGCAGTCCATGTAAGATTCCAAATTCTCTTCCAGAGAGCTCCCATGTTTGCTGACTGGGATTAGCTCCAGCCTTGCAAGTTGCAATGCCAAACAAAAAAGTAGCAGACTGCAGGCATCTGATCTCCATGTTATGAAGCTGTTGTGCTTCAGAAGAACAAGAGATGAATAAAGGAGCTGCCTTCACACTGTGGAAATTACCAAATTGGAGCATTTTTGTTTCTCTTTTTGATTTCAATTGATTGTCTCATAATAATTGTGCCCAATTTCTCTGGTGGCAACAGTCAACATCTAAGTTTTTATGACTCACTATAAACAGTGACAGGCGACCATCATAAGTCCCAAGCATTCCAACTGGCATTCTATCTTAAAACTATTTCTTTTCTTAACTGATATAATTATGATTACCAACGAATGACACATGACCCCCTACCTCCTCAATACACACACACACACAAAAAGAAAAAGAAGAAGATAAATAATAATCCAATTCTCTCACTTGCCATCCATAAAAACATGCACAGGTATTGGCCAATCATGCTATGGGGCCCATCCACTCCCTGGCTGTCCGATGCTATTTCTTAGATTCTCAACTTCACCGCACTGTTAGCCATCCGAATTAGCGTCAGCCACACTGTTATTTTATCATGACATATATATATATATATATATATATATATATATATATATATAGTGACAAAAACAAATAGTCATCCCTAAGAAGAAGCTTTAATGATGTTTAAGCATTTTTATGAGTTGAGTGCTCATTGTTTTGTGGCAAAATGAATTAATTATAATTGATCACACTTAGATGTCATGATAATTAAGACGATCATCGACAACTCGATATCGGATAGGACGGGCATCAACTTTGTAACGGGTGTTATAAACCAACGACGTGTCGCTTCTTGTCAGCTACCGGAGCTTCGTTTTGTCGCCACCCGTTACGGACGTGGCGAGCCCATCTCTTTGTGACGATCGTTCTGTACCAACCGCACGCCTGACTCGCACGTGAGAAGCAATTATTATATAGGGACAATTGGTCACGCGCACCACGTGCAACGGGGGGCCCGGTTGGTGCAGGCAGGACCCACCGACTCGAATAATTGGAAGGGGGAATTGGCGGCTTGCTCTCAAAAATGCCCCTTTTGGTGGGTGGAAATCATGGTGTGAGTTAAGCAGGACATTAGGGTTCTCAAAAATGCCCTTTTTGGCATTCAATAAATCCTAATTAGCTTATCTTAATTAAAAATCTAATTTTAATTCTATGCTTACACTTATATTATTTGCATGATGGTTGTCGAGAATTTTAATTTTAATTTTACACTTATTTTATGCTTACACTTACACTTATGTTCTAATTTTAATTTTAATTAAGCTCTCTTAATTAAAGGGAGCTTCATACGAGAGAGGGAGAGAGAGAGAGAGAGAAAAAGGTTAAAAAAAAATCTACGAGAGAGAGAGAGAGAGAGAGAGA